GCCCCCCCCCCCCCCCACTCCCCCAATTACACACACATTTTTGCTATAGGGCCCCATGATCTGTAGTTATGCCCCTGCTCCCACAATAAGTCTCTATAGGTTGAACTCAATGGACTTTTTTTCAACCTGGCTAACTATATAACTATATGTAACATTCCTTTTATATCAGTCAAAAGCCCTGGAAAAATTCAAAGCCAATATACATGGAATACATGGAATATGTGACCTGTACATTAATTCCTTTACCTCCTCCATCTGTGTAGGACCTGTACATTTAATGTATCTAGTGCAACATTACCAGATCAGTGTTTTAACCCCCTCAATACCAGCATGTTTTTGAATTTAAAAAAAATTGTTGCAAAAAAAATAGATCACCTTGAAGTGTCTTCTTTCCAAAAAGGGCCCTTTTAGCCAATAGGAGAACCTACCAAAGGCCATCAGAGTAATTTGTCCTGATATCTCCTGTTCATGTGATCTTCCATTGTGCTTCCCTACTTTCTTAGTGTTCTCTGAGGACAGGTTACTGAACCACTATTAATATTATAATGACACACTTAAGCAAATGGAAAGACACACGCTTAAGGAAGTTTATATCCCAAGGATTAACACTCAGAGCCACCGGAGACGGTATAATTGCTGAATTACGTAAACCTCACATTAGAAGAGCAGGAAATATAGCCTCTGTTACAGTACATCCCATCTTCATAACTGTAAGGAACTTATAGACTGATAATAAGCAAATTCTAGACACAGGAATACTTATGTCCTGGATACTTAATGAACTTGCTTTCCTGTCTGTTCACTGACAGTTTCACACAGTTAGTTACAGAAATACATGATGTTCTAGAATACTTACAGGAAACGCTGCAACAAGGCCTTTCACCATTTCTGCTATAAATTAAATAACTTATCAGAACATGGAAATCTTCACAAACCCTGCTCCTTAATACTATAATTGATGTCTATGAGATTCATTAATTCTGCAGTGGGAAGCTTTTGGAGATCAGATCCTGATCCTGATCAATCAAGTCTTTTAGATGAACCTTCTTTATAATAAGGAACTTTATCCATCAATCAATTGTCTCCAAAAACAGTTATATTTAGGACATGCAACCTGTCAAGATTACCAGTGTGTTTATTTCAGCTCTCAACCAAACTTTCAAGCCCTCAAATGGTTGGTGTCATAACTGATCACATGTGCAGCACCATGGTGACTACAATCCAAACAGAGACTAAGATGGCCCCTTCCGCGGCTTTAATGGCTAGGAGGTTGTAGTTCTGTTTTAAATATATGATACAAGAAAATATAGAGCCAGTTGTTTCTTTAATTTAGATTTAAGTTTATAAAAAAAAAACAACTGGTATTCATTTGTTTTTCCCCTACTTGTATTGTACCGAACAGGTTAGAGGTAAAGTTGTTCTCTTTAACAGTACACATGAGCAGGGGGTTGTAACTTTTTCCAAGCCCCTATTATAATAACAGTACAACCTTTACTGCATTATTTGTTTAGTAATGCCTATTACAAAATGGCCCAAGCCAATAAATAAATCTGTTAAGAATCAAATGAAGCAAAAACACAGATTGCAGAGATATTGTACACATTAGTAGACATTAACTTGATAATCATTTTCAGGACATAAGAATGAAATGCTGTGGTCCCTATGGTGTTTCAATGCCTTTAGCACCTCCAAATATATAATTTCATTTCCAGCAGTTTTTCATTTACCTTGCGCCATCCATGTTTTCTTTCAGATGAAAATGCTCGATCTTCAGAAAGGAAAGACTCTGGTAAGTCATTTTCAAATAAATGAACAATATAAAGCAATACAAAAAAGACCCTGTTCTTAGCGAAATGTGAAGGCCCACCTATTGCAGCGGTACTATCCTCCCTGCACCTTTTAACAGACATTTTGCACCAAATAGATGTCAGCAACTGTACCCTAAAACACACAGCACACAAGAGCCTGGAAAGCACCACATTGTAGAGTCCAGTGTCCAAAGAATACATTAGGTAGCTTAGCCTTATTTAAAAACTCACTCATGAAGAGAAAGATCAAAGAAAGGGTTACACCAGAGGCTGTGCCATGGCTCTGAAGCTAGAAAACAGTCTGTGGCTAACTGATACAGCACAAAAGTGACTGAAAACTGTCGCAATGCAGAGTTCAATGCTTGAAGGAAACATATTAGTTTTGCTTTGCCTTATTCAGAGGGTTATGAACAAAGAAAGAGTTCAGACTGGGTTACACTGGAGGCTGAGCAAGTCTGGGGAGCACTTTTCTGCTAACACAGTATGCTAAAGTCTGGAAAGCCCCACAACGCAGAGTTCAGTGTCCAGAGGCTACATACTATGATGACCTTCACCACAACCAAAGGATTAATTACAGAGTGAGTCTTCAGCGGCTGAGTAACACCATAGGCTTCGTCATGACTCTGGATCTGGAGAGCACTCCAAAGTAACTAAGTAACTAACACAGTACGCAAAAGTCTAGAAAGTACCCCAAGTAAATTCCAGTGCCCGAAGGTCACATTCAAGGCTATTTTGGTGCAGTTACATTTTTATTAGGACTCACTCCACCCCCAACCTACTCCCAGTTGTGTACTCACCTGTCCCCAGTCCAGCAAGATATCACTGACTAAATCACCCAGCCACTTGTAAAAATGTTCTCGGCTGGGTCAATGCACTCAGCAATCCAATTAATTCCTCTTGAAAGTTAGTCCAGAGTACATGCTCATACTCAGAAGTCACTAGGAATAGATGGGATTGCAGATTGAATGTGTGGGCCCTGCAGGGAAAAAATGTTTCCCTGCAGGGCCCTTGGCCAGCAATATCTCAGTGGATCAGGTATAAGTGAGTATAATGAGGGGGGCTGGGGTTGGGGGGACTGTGATGTAAGTGAAACTACATAAAGGTGTATCACTTTTTTTTTTCTTTGCATGTAACTTCTTCCCAGAGCAGTGAAGGGACAGCATGCAGGGAATGGGTCTGAATTGCATCTGAGCTCTGCATGGGGACATAAAAGAACTGTGCGGGGTGGGGGTACTAGTACAGGGTTTATATGGCAAAAATGAACTTGTATTGTAAAGCCACAAAAGAGTTTTTAGTTGTGTTAATTTTATTGAATAAATAAACTTCATCAGCAAGAATTGCAAAGGAAGTGAGGGTTATTCAAATGTAACATCTGTATTTTTTGCAGACATTTTCTTTTCAGGTTTAAGAGCAGAAAGGCGAGACCAGGAGGCTGATCATATAATGAATGTTATTTATTTATTCTTGCTTTATTTTATCTACTTACTAATGCTACTTTGTGTTTTTCACAGAGAAATACTTATAACTGATCTACACACACTGAAAATATAGGAATGGGACCCAGCTTTGTTTTACTTGAAATAGCACAATAATTGATTTTTAAAAATTAGAATGTCCAAATAAATTAGTAACAAATGACAACTGTATTAATTTTGCATATTTGGTTTCTTGGAGAAGGGCAACCTGATGATGCGGACAAGAGGGATAATTCACAGCGAACAACTTTATTTATTGAGAAACCCAATAGTGGAACAGTAAATGTGGGTGAGTATTACTGGGGATTACATACACCATATATTGTTTGTATGCTATTGAGTGAGTCTATCTAATTTATTAGAACAAACGTAGAGTTAACTTGTTGCACTCCTTACCGGAAAGCCCCAATTAAATGAAGGGGGAAGCTCGCAATGACTACGGATGGTGCCACCAGATAATGAAGATATATGGATATCATCAGCACACCAAAAGTATTGTAGTCCAAAGTGCTCGTATATTTCAAAACGTCACGTCGTCAGAACTAGCGCTTTCGGGGCTCATCAGGGTCCTCTTTATCAGGCTCAGCAATGACGTTGCTGAGCCTAGAGAGCACTCCAAAGTAACTAAGTAACTAACACAGTACGCAAAAGTCTAGAAAGTACCCCAAGTAAATTCCAGTGCCCGAAGGTCACATTCAAGGCTATTTTGGTGCAGTTACATTTTTATTAGGACTCACTCCACCCCCAACCTACTCCCAGTTGTGTACTCACCTGTCCCCAGTCCAGCAAGATATCACTGACTAAATCACCCAGCCACTTGTAAAAATGTTCTCGGCTGGGTCAATGCACTCAGCAATCCAATTAATTCCTCTTGAAAGTTAGTCCAGAGTACATGCTCATACTCAGAAGTCACTAGGAATAGATGGGATTGCAGATTGAATGTGTGGGCCCTGCAGGGAAAAAATGTTTCCCTGCAGGGCCCTTGGCCAGCAATATCTCAGTGGATCAGGTATAAGTGAGTATAATGAGGGGGGCTGGGGTTGGGGGGACTGTGATGTAAGTGAAACTACATAAAGGTGTATCACTTTTTTTTTTCTTTGCATGTAACTTCTTCCCAGAGCAGTGAAGGGACAGCATGCAGGGAATGGGTCTGAATTGCATCTGAGCTCTGCATGGGGACATAAAAGAACTGTGCGGGGTGGGGGTACTAGTACAGGGTTTATATGGCAAAAATGAACTTGTATTGTAAAGCCACAAAAGAGTTTTTAGTTGTGTTAATTTTATTGAATAAATAAACTTCATCAGCAAGAATTGCAAAGGAAGTGAGGGTTATTCAAATGTAACATCTGTATTTTTTGCAGACATTTTCTTTTCAGGTTTAAGAGCAGAAAGGCGAGACCAGGAGGCTGATCATATAATGAATGTTATTTATTTATTCTTGCTTTATTTTATCTACTTACTAATGCTACTTTGTGTTTTTCACAGAGAAATACTTATAACTGATCTACACACACTGAAAATATAGGAATGGGACCCAGCTTTGTTTTACTTGAAATAGCACAATAATTGATTTTTAAAAATTAGAATGTCCAAATAAATTAGTAACAAATGACAACTGTATTAATTTTGCATATTTGGTTTCTTGGAGAAGGGCAACCTGATGATGCGGACAAGAGGGATAATTCACAGCGAACAACTTTATTTATTGAGAAACCCAATAGTGGAACAGTAAATGTGGGTGAGTATTACTGGGGATTACATACACCATATATTGTTTGTATGCTATTGAGTGAGTCTATCTAATTTATTAGAACAAACGTAGAGTTAACTTGTTGCACTCCTTACCGGAAAGCCCCAATTAAATGAAGGGGGAAGCTCGCAATGACTACGGATGGTGCCACCAGATAATGAAGATATATGGATATCATCAGCACACCAAAAGTATTGTAGTCCAAAGTGCTCGTATATTTCAAAACGTCACGTCGTCAGAACTAGCGCTTTCGGGGCTCATCAGGGTCCTCTTTATCAGGCTCAGCAATGACGTTGCTGAGCCTGATGAAGGGAACCCTGCGTGGCCCCGAAAGCGCTAGTTTTGATGACGTGACGTTTTGAAATAAACAAGCACTTTGGACTACAATACTTTTGGTGTGCTGGTGACATCCATATATCTATCTAATCCATTAGAGGCATAAATAGGAACAGGTTAAATGGCGTGTATAAAGTTCATTTTCTATGCATCTTTATTTATTACAGGTGATATTGATTTTAAATGTATGAACCAATGCCTTGAATTACCAGCTGACTACATAAGCCTCTCAAAAAAACTAATGAAGTGGCCTTCCCAAAGTTTTGTCTCCACCTTCTCTCACAAGGCCATGATGAAATTTTGGAAGCAGCATTTTGCCAAACAAATTTCTGAGAGATAATATAAGCCAGCATGTGATGCAGTTTGCCCAGGGTTTGAGTCATGCTGACCTTTATCAAAGGCTAACCATAGCTGATGATGTATAAGTCATTCATTAGCTGGAAGAGTATGCAATTACAAGTTTATGTGCATGTCACTTGACATATTCTTACACGTCCTGAGCCAGGGAAAACCTACAGTAATCTTTTTTGTTGGTTTTCTTTTTCCTGTATCCCACCAAGAACATCTAATTCTGCTAAAAAAAAAGCAATGCTAATTTCTGGTAAATGATGTGTGAAATAGCTACAAGCACGTATGGTTGAAAGCAATAGAAGTCTAAATACCGAAATCCTCTTTGCTGTATGTTTAGAAATGACCCTTAGAATTAAGCTAAATCTTACTCTTTTTATACACATGTAATTGTGAGCCTTGTATACAGTCATTAAGAACTATATCAATCCCAATTTTTTGCGAGGAGTGGTACCCCCGCCATCTCCCGATTGGGTCTGCCTCTACTGGGGTCTTGGGCCTCTTTTCATTTTCTCTCTCCTCTTTCTCCCCTCCTTGCCATTTGCTTTTATTCCTTCACGGTCTGAGCCAGGGTGAACGACTGGGATGCACACAGACTCCAAGGACAACTTCCCTCTTCATCTCCTGAAGAAGCGCTATCTAGTGCGAAACGTTGAGAAAATCAAGCTCCTCCATCATCTTCCATTATATAAATCATGTTATGTAATTATGAACTTTTCAATCATGCTTTTTCAATCATGTTCAATTGCACAAGAATTCTGATTGTCATCTACATATGAATGAATTTAATCAATGTGGAGTGAGTTTATAGGGGAATCATGTTGTCAATTTTATCAATTCTATTTGCTTTTTAATCAATTAAAATATACTTTTTCAAGAAATTCTTGGTGTGCAAGTTGTCAGTCGGCTGCCTAAAAAACCCCAACTTTTCTGACTTTTCGATAAAAGAACTATATCACTGTGATTGCATGGGGCTGATTTACCTTTGGAGTAGAGCATGTTTACCCTGCAAAGTGAATTTTCAATTTGTAAGGGAATTTTCACTTACCTTAGTGAATCTGGTAAAAATTCACTCTGGAAAGAATACCCAGTACAGCAGAGCTTCAATACATTCAATTAGCTAAGTGAATATTCCTTTGCAAGGTAAAAATTCACTTTGCTAAGTGAACAGCCTAATCGCCTTTGGGAAATCTGTTCTATTTCTGTTTGTGCATTCAGGGCCAGATTTCAATAATATGCAATTTCCCACCCCACAACATCAGATCCTTGTGTCATATACAGCCTTATGCGTCTAATTACCTCACTACATCTCCACTACGGCAGGCAGTGGCTGAATAAGGTCACTTTTGGTTAGTAATGCTGGCAACAGGGCAGGCTATGAAAATTGAGTTTAAACAGTTGCCTATAGGAAGTAAGCAGAAGCCTATGGTTTCTTACACATGGTTTGAATCTATTACATCATAAGCAAAGGTTGACCCATGCTTAGGTAGTGTAAGCAGTAATTATAACAAGGTAAGGAAAAAAGGAAAAGCCTACCGAGTCTAACACTTGACATTTTTCTACCTTAGACCTGGGTTTTGTGTACTTCCCACAAATCTAGGCCTATGTACTGTATATTGCTAAATGTTCATCCATTGGCTGCACAACAACATTGTTTAGCTATAATAACTGTGGCCAGGCTCAAAAGGAAGAAGGACCCACACTGTAATCCCTCTTTCGATATATCATGTCCAGAACCCTGAATGCCATTCCCAACATACTTACCTCTACCTAGTGCCTTAGCCCCTCCTTTTCTCCACAGTTATGGTCTCTAACCATAAAGGTGCTGTTTGAACCTGGAGCTTGTTGTCTCCAATGCTTTTTTGTACTACTCATGCTGCTGAAGGTGTATGTGAAAGATGATGACCACCTATTTTTGAGGAACCGTGTACTTATGATGATTGTAAAATGTAAAACCAGAACAAACCATTGAAGACAAATTGAAGTACCTTACATGCGCCTAAAGCTATAGCTGTGAGATTACTGTGAGAAAAACTGCTAGGGTAAGTACAATAAATCTGAGAAGATTGGGTAGGGGAGTATTGAAAAGGTTTCATGAACTCCCTCAACAGAGAACTTTTGCCCCTCACTGAAATAAATGATGGGAAAATATAAATGAGTAATATGTGTCTGTGTCCTTGTGTGTACAGTATACCTATACTAGTATTGTGGTATTTCAATGGTTTGCTTTTTTTTTTTTATCTTTAAAGGGGGTGATATTAAGTTTATAGCAAAAGTGGAGGCAAAGGATCTCCTCCGTAAACCTATTGTGAAATGGATGAAAGGAAAATGGATGGACTTGGCAAGTAAAGCTGGAAAGCATCTTCAGCTGAAGGACACATTCGACCGTATTAATAAGGTATTTTGTACAAAGCTATGGTGTTCTTCAAAGATTGTTGTTGGTTTGAGTAGAGTGGTGCTGGCTGTAGTTCTGTTACAGAATATGAGAGGACAGCCTGACAGTAACATTGACAAATGGAACGTTGTGATGACTAACCTGGAACCATGTGCAGCATTCCCTGGAGTTCATATGTATTATAACAAGAGACTGAATAAATTTGTCACTTTCACTTGTACCTAAAAACTGCATGTAGTTAGTACCCTGCTTTTTGATATTTTTTTATTTTTTACTAACTGCACTTATTGCAAACGTTAGTCAGCTGGTCCTGCATGTACACAAAAGCAAAACATTTAACAATATCTTAAGTACTGAACAATATCACTCTTGCTCTTGGCCTCTTACATGTACATCGTGCTAACCTTGACTGCTGAACAAGCCTTTTGTTTCCAGACCTCAATCATTTAAGCTCTGGTTATACAAAACATTTGAATGAGCCAGAAGAGTAACTCATCCCACTTCTTTCTGTTTGTTCTATGTACCTATGTACAGACATTCATTTAGAGAGAGTCAGTCTAACAGCATACATCTTCTTTTGTGCTGTCTATTTTAAAACAAAAACAAATGCTCTATGCCACCAGTCCAGTCTAGTGGGTGCTCCATGCAGTAAATAATTAACTGTAGAATTAAGATTCTTTATATGTTGTAAAGAAAAAAAATCAAACATGAGTGATTTTTGCAGCGATATCGCTCATATTTCCACGCGATATCGCTCTATGTAGCTTCTCCAATCCATTTCAATGGAGATGTTCACATCTCGTCGCTCAATATCGCTTGTAGCTTGTCGCTGGTAGCTTGTCGCTCCTACATGACCCTTTTTTCGAGCGATTTCAAGCGATTTTGCTCCTGATTGCATACAGCCCAATAGGAAAAAGTTGCGCGATGTCGTGCGACAAGTCGCTCAATATCGCTCAATATCGCACATATAAAATCGCACGGAAAATTGCGCGATTTTCATGTCGCTCAGTGTGAATGGGGCCTAAAGCTTATTTTATTGCTACGTTTGTTATTATAATAATCATTTACACAACATTGTCACTAGACTCAAGCCAGTATACTCAAAATTTTATTTTAATAAAGAAAATAACAAAAAGACAGCACAATGCTTTTAGAGAAAACATTATTTATTCACACAAAATTGTTAATTAGCAGTATATGAGCTATATTAAAACTAAATAATATATTATTATTTTTTTATAGACATACACATATGAAATGCAAATCATAAAGGCAAAGGAGAACTATGCTGGAAACTACAGATGTGAAGTAACGTATAAAGATAAATTTGACAGCTGCTCATTTGATCTTGAAGTAATCGGTAAGTGTTCACTGTAGAAATGTTGTATGTAACTATCCATTTTAATACAGTATACACAATTGTGTTATACATACACAATTGCACACACAATTATATGATGGAATTAGGTAAGAGTTAAAGGAGAATGATGAGGCAAGTGATTTTCACCCAGCCTCATAATCTGAGCTGACCTGTGACAATGAAACTGTCACACATCGGCTCAATAGATAGGGAAGTGAGCGAACACATACCATCGCTCGCTCACTTCTCGATCTATCCCTGCAGAGAGCCACGACTGTCACTCACGGCTCCCTGCAGGGATTCCCCCCCTATCCTTTGTCTGATCCTTCAGCGCTGACTGGCGTAAAGGACGGGGGAGCGGGCAGATACAGCTGGCTCTGCCTCTAGATAGGCAGAACAGAAAAAAACAAAGTCTGAGGCGCAACTGCCCTTGGAGTTGAATAGGTGAGGGTATAGCAGGGGTTAAATGGGCTAGGGCATGCAGGTTAAATGCTGCCCGAGAAGCAGTTTCGTAGATATTTTTCCCTCCGCAATGTAATCAATATCAGGGGTGAGGGAGAAATAAAAACAAAAAACAAAAGAGGTGCACATGAAAATGGAGGCAAGTTGAACAGTGTGTGGTGCATATATCAACTCACCGCGAGGTTCTTGGGGAAGTGTAGTCATCGACGACGGGGTTCCTGTTGGAGGCAGCGTCCGGCGGTCTCTTCTGGGACTGGGTGCAAGGACTTCAGATGCCGGGTCGGTGTGCGATTCTATCAGATGCCTGTGTGTGGGACGTGCTGCTGGGCTGCTGGACTGCTGGGCTGGGTTGCGATGGCTGGTGGACGTCAACCACGTCCTGTGTTTGAGGAAATCTGGTTCGCTGGCGGGTGGGGGACGCCGATCGCGTCCTGTGTTGGATACGGAGATTGCAGTGCGGGCAGTGGCTCTCTGTACGAGGTGGATGAGTGACGAGGTGCGCAGGCGCCGCCGAGCGACGGCGGTCGTGTTGGTCCAAAAATGGATAGGACGCTTGTGGTAGTCTAGGTGCACATTTTCATGTGCACCTCTTTTGTTTTTTGTTTTTATTTCTCCCTCCACCCCTGATATTGATTATATCGCGGAGGGAAAAATATCTACGAAAACTGCTTCTCGGGCAGCATTTAACCTGCATGCCCTAGCTAATTTAACCCCTGCTATACCCTTACCTATTCAACTCCAAGGGCAGTTGCGCCTCAGACTTTGTTTTTTTCTGTTTTGCACCCTTACCAAGTGGACACCCCGGTCCACTTTGAACTGAAGCCGCACGCCACCCCCATCTCAACACCATCCTCCTCCACACAGCCCCCACTCAACTAAAAGTTCTGAGAAAGTCAGAACCAAAAAACCCCCCATCCCTCAGGAGAGCGCCGTCACACAGGACTTGAATCCTCAATTTTTCTATCTAGATAGGCAGAGCCAGCTGTCACTCACGCAGCAGGGTGGATCCAGACAGCATTGTCTGGATCCGTTTCAGCTGCGGCGTCTCAGTATACCGCGAGCTGCAGCTCGCGGTATACTGAGCTTTGGGTGACGGGAGGACGCTAGTTTGTGTCCTCCCATTACCCTTAGGAGAACTAGGGGGAAAAGCCCTAACCCCACAGTTCTCCTTTAACATCCCCACTGCCTGCCAACACACAAGCTGCCCTAATATCATTTGTAAATGATGCCATAAAACAAGGGCAATTTTAATGTATTTAGTGAACAATGGTTGTAGTTAAAATGGTAAATGCCATGAAATGTACGACCATAATTTACATATGGTTAGGGCTATTTATAAAATAATTTTTTTGTGTATCAAAGCACATGCAGAGCTGAAAGATAGATACATACTTCATTATTTTTTCTTTCTGCTGTGTAGCCGCCCCAGACGCTTCCCAAACTCTGGACATTAGATCTGCATTCAAGAGAAGGTAAATCATGGAATGCTTTGTGAAAGAATTCCCAAAATACTTTACAAAATAAAAGGATTTATCAGAAAGGCAAAGAGCCATGATAATGTACAAATGCAATAATTTAACAGGTTGTCATAAGCTATTGTATAAATGCCCCTAATACAGAACATATGATCTAATACATAAATATGATCAGCCTTACACATTGAAAAGTGTTAAAGTATTAACACAGCTTCAGTAGCTGAGATAAAACAAACATAATGCATAGGAGATTTTTAAGGTGTCAGACATATATTGTATTGAGCATTAATAACCAATATTTTTTTCCTCTAATTTCAACTAAAACTTATGTATATGTATAAAAGAGTCTCACCTGTGTGCGTCAATACTGTGTCACTACTGTGTCCTACTCATTGAACATTGTTATCTGTAATGTAGAGACTCTTTTATGTACATTTTTGATGTTATAGATAAAATTAGAAATAAAAACTTTTTTACATTTTATTTAGTTACTAATGCTCAATACAAAATATGCATACCACATTGAATGTCCCCTATACAATATATTTGGTTTGTATTCAGTTTTATATTTAGCTTCAATAGTTAGTTAAAGGGTCAGTCCATCCACACTGATAATACAGTTTTGGGTAGATGATGGAGAGATAATCCACCTGACAGTTTCTTATATCTCTTGAAATCTGGTTCGGTGACGGTGAAATGTCTCCACATGGGTTCCCAAGTCTTTACATCTGCTTAGCAATTCCATTGTTTCCAAACAGCTAGTGTGAGAACACTTAAAATTTCAAGGTGAGTAGAACTAGATCCAGAAATTTTTGCAAGGAGATCTCACCACTGCAGTCTACAGTGATCCAATGAGCCACTTACTGACATGGCCTTCTGGTCTCCAATAACAAATTAAATTTCTCTCTTAGGTGGACCTACCTTGTGATGTTTTGCACAGGTCAGGTAGATGTCAGGATTTTCCCCAGTTCCATGATTCACTAGTTTCAAAATGGAACTCTACTACTGCCAGGTTTTTATTGCTGTTCTAAGGATTTCCCTCACTTTCTGTCCGTCCTAGAAACATTGGAAAATAAGGGCCAATCTTTCCAGAAGGTTCACAGAAAACAATAAAAACTTTTTTTGAAAGAGTGGAAAATGGGGAGTTGGTTCCTATTCACATTCGCCAACAGAGATCACTTGTCAGCACTTCAGCATTGTGGTTGTAAAACTATAATGTTGGTTTGAGCCACCATCTCCTACGATAGTGACCAAAGCCTAAACCAAGCAAAGTGTTGTATTAGAGTTTCTGTCTTTTGTTTTGTTTGAAATTTCATCTTACAAAAGAGTGCAAGGATGTTTAATGTCATAGTTGATATGCATACAAATACACTTGCTCTTAAAGGGACCATATCACTTGCCTTGAACCACAATAACTTTTATTTATATATTAAAATTATCTTGCTTATTCTATTTAGAGTTGTATTACATTTCTAATTTGTTATTTAATTTTTTATTTTTAAATTAAAGCCTAGAATGGGGAAGGATTAAAGCCTTGGTAAGATTTTTATTGCTGTTTGTGCCCTGTCACTGGGACAACGAAGGCAAATCTCTCCAATGAAGACACAAAAGGAGCAGACTGCCTTTTTTAGAATAGGAAGGGTTAGGAATGCTGGCAAGATACTATTGCTGTTTTAACCCTGATTGGGGAGATTTTCCCTTACATCCTGTACCAGTGACACAGAGTATGTCACCAGGACATGAAGTGAGCGGGAATCTCTCCAATGGGGGCATATGTTGCTAAAAACCCAACTATTCCATGTATAGTTTTTTGTGTAAAGTACATCTATGTGCCCTAGATGACATGATCTTGACCGGTAAAATCCTAACTCAATATTAATTTGATTTGTCCATTGAGTAAAAAGATTTTCTGGGCATACCGTATTCTTTCATGATAATACAGAGAGTTTCAAAGACTGAATGTTATTTGAAAAGGTGACATAATGGAAAGAATACATGTTCACAAAAGAGCAAAGGCCTAAACCTGCTTTTGTGTTTTGTGTTGCATATTGAATATAGCAATGATTTCTTTTCACTATGGTATGTGTGAGCACAAATCAAGATAATGTTTTGCAACATACAGGTTATATGTAAAAACATTGTCTTGTGACACCATATCCAGACTCAACAAGCTTATTTAAGGACTACTTTGCAACAGCAAGAAACCAGCCAATATTAGATTTTCTTAGCCCCATGCTATGGCCTGGAAAGTAATATCTGATGGTTGCTGCTGGTTGCAGCGTATGTTCTACTTCTTATATTCTGTTAAATAAGCTTTACTGTGTTTGATTTTCTAGTCTATCTAGAGATAACAGTGATGTGCCATGTTTTTGTGCCTTTACAGGCAATGTTCTTTATCTCTGATGTGAATGTATGTTTGTGATAAACAGAGAATTCAAATTTTTATATTAATGACAGCGGTGAAGGACAAGAAGATGCAGGAGAGCTTGACTTTAGTGGTCTCCTGAAACGTAGGTGAGGAATGCAGTGTTGTCATGCCGTGTTAAGTGGCAGCTAAACCCATCTGAGGCAACACAGGTTGTCAATCCACAGTTTGCAGTCCCTTTCCTGATTTTCCTCATTAGATGATAACTCTGGCATTGTTATTTCCTTGTATTTACAAGATCCTTTACCATTTGTCCAGGAACTCATGAACCCTTTTAACTATCAAATGCATGTGGTTAATTAGTGCATACACCTGTCCAGCTTTAACCGTGGTGTTTTGCGTAACCTACTAACTTGTGCATGCTTGTGTATAGATTCGTAGGTGCAAGTGAAATCCTTTCAGAAGATACATACTCATTGTATTCAGTGGCCCAGTATCAGGGGCGTAACTAGAAATCACAGGGCCCCATAGCAAAATTTTGTATGGGGCCCCGTGATTGCTAGTTATGCCACTTGCAGAGCCCACCTGATATACCAAACAGCCCACCTGAGAGTGACCCTGCAGAGACCCCCAATGACTCTCTATAGTGGGCTCTGCAGGGTCTCTAATGGGCTGCACACCTCTTACTTGTCAGCGCTGTCTGCCTCCGTGGTTGCCGGGGCACCGCCTCCTCTTCCATCGACGGGCCCTGCCTCCTCTTACATCACTGGCCCCACCTGCTCTTAGGTCGCTGGCCAGTGATGTAAGAGGAGGCGGAGTTGCTCTTAGGTGGGTCCTGCCTCCTCCTTCACTGCCAACGCTGGCCTCTTCTGCCATAGCTGCTGGCTGTCACTGACACAGCGCCGCAGTGGCTGTGAGGGGAAACACCGCTGCTGAGCTGTGTCAGTGACAGCCAGCACCCTTACATGCCGTAGCGACCCAGGCAGCCCACACGGCATCAGAGGGATGCCCTGGCCGGGCCCCCCTGTGCCCGGGCGCCATAGCGTCCGCCTGGGTCACTATGGCGATTGTTATGCCACTGCCCAGTATGCAAACCTGAAGCAAATTGAAAACAAATTGCTTAGAAACAAGAAGCAAGAATATTGTTTTTAAATCCACAAAAGTAAAGATGGACCATAGGTTTTTGAATTGTATGTGGAGACCCAAGAAAAAAAAAAACAGAACAGGCAAACTCTAATTGATATAGTAGGGAATTAATCTAGGGCCCCAATACTGGCAGGCCACGGTGCTAAACACTGAGCCACCTTATTTTCTTTATAAAGTTAACAACAAAGGTATGATTTTCTGCTATGGGCCCCTACACTTTCCTTCCTTTCAGTTTTTACACATGGAGATCATTATGTTTGAAACATTGAGACATCATTATGCTTTTCAGCATAATGTTTGCATGTAATAATGGTATCCAAGACCAAAGTGTGTGCAAAAGGCAAAAGCCCAACAGCAAAACACGGAAACATTGCTATGTGCAATGCACTGGAATTGGTCATCCAGATATAATCAATATATAACTTATTTCAGTGTTCATACAGTTTGACTAGTTGGTAAACCAGATGCTTCTGGTCAAACTGATGCACACAGTGTTTCTAGAATAACAAACGCCATTTCACATTGTCAGTATGTGAAATTTTCATTCTGAAGGCCTAGTCAGAATGTTGCATCAAATAACAAAAATTATTTATACTTATTCATGTGTACATGAATATATCTATAAAATTAGCATGGAATGCTAATATAAGAAAAATAGTATTTGAAACTTAAAGCAGGAAAATCCATCAATCGTGTATCTTACACCTCGCAAATATATTACCTCTTCACTTCAAATGGTTTAACAGCATTATAGGGTTTTGAAATAATGACCATCTATAAAAATTATTATCTCAGCTATGTGGTCTCCATTAAATAATACTCTTATACAATGCTCTTGTCTGAATTTGGTCTTTATATTTCTCTATGCTGATATTAGAGAGTTTAAGCCAGAAGAAGGTCCAGAGATAGATGTATGGGAGATCCTGAAGAATGCCAGTCCTAATGAATATGAGAAAATTGCATTTCAGTATGGTATCACTGACCTGAGAGGCATGCTGAAAAGACTGAAACGTATGCGCAGAGAGGAGAAGAAGAGTGCAGGTACTGTATCCCGGTACATATATGGACCTATTCCACAAGGCAAAAAAACAATGCTTGACTAACTCAATTAAGTATTTTGTTATATACTCCTGAAGTGCAAATATGAACAGCCAGTCCAACAGTGCAGATCAGCACTTAGTAAAGCAGAGGTACTAAAAATCCAACAATAGCTTAAATGTTTCAAATGATAAGGCTTATAGCTATGGTTTAAATTCTTATGGTTTGAAAAGTATGTGAAGTGCAGATCTACAATGCACAGGACAGCACATGGCATAACCTTCAGAAACCAAACAATTCACCTTTCATTCATTTAGAGCAGTCAGAACAGTTAAAACAGATACAGGTTGCCTGCTATAGGTAAAGTCAAAAATAAGGTACTTATTTAACAAAGTGATCAAGTTTGTAACTATGCTTAAAATATATCACAAAACAATCCTCTAGAATAAAAGAACTGCTGCGGGTGCACAGTTATTAATGGGTTGTAGTTTTGTAGTTATTGTTCTTCTCTCCACAATATAATCAAATTGAATAATAATCGAAAAATCCAACAGCAGATGGCAGGGTGTAGACCCAGGGACTCAAGCTCAATAATTTTACCATTAGAGTCGCCCCAAGAGATGTAAGAAACTGTCAAGGGGTTTAACTCTCCAGGATTTACCAAAAACAGTTGTGGAATAACAGATGTTTTAATTTAATGACAGTACACTGAGACATGCGAATTGGGAAGCTATAGTAATAGGCAAAAAGGTGTGTTCCCTTTGTCCAATAAGAACCGTTTGTAAAAGCTCTTGCATAGCTTTAAAGTCATCTTTGCACTGCAGTATAAAGGGGGACATGCTATTACAAACACATTTAAGCAGTGCATGTTTGATCACTTTGAGGCTACAAGGACTCAAATAATATTGTTAAAAAAACATAGCCGTGCACAGCCTATTGCATTAGGGTGTGCACACAAAAATACAAACACACATATAGTATACATACAGTATATATCAAATAAATACATACATACACAGACCTGAGGCATCCCAGATTCCCATCTTTTCAACTGTCCCTTAACTCTTCCAGCATGGGTGCAGTAATGAAGGGAGTCTGGTAGGTGATCACACGGCAGGTGGTCACCCACCCGATTGGATGGGAAGCCTGGAAAGCCGCAGCCATACTCCCTCGCATCTTCCCAGGCAATGAGGACTGCAGCTGTTATGTGTGGAAAGTAAGTGGCAAGTGCTACTGTGCTCTGTATCGCTGAGCCGGTCACAGAGAGATCTTTGTGATCTCTCCACCGGTTCAGTGACTATAAACAAGGAGCCCGCTGTTGCAGTTTCGATGTTGTGCTCAGAATGATTAGAGTGTGCCCAGGTACACCTCGCACACCCGCTGTGCACGCCTATGTTAAAAAATGATATACACATTGCATTTTTTCCTGAAGCCTGCTGTCTTTCTGCCCCAAAAGACTTTTGTTGCTGTAGTGTCTAAACTATGTTAGTTTTCTACAAATCTATGCCAAAGGAAAATGGCAGATTAATTTGTACCTTGTCAGCTAGTCAGTGTTATTATTTTACAGACAGTGCCAACCAATGACAAAATCCTCAGTAACAATTATGGTCTGTATTAAAGATTCTAACATAGAAACTACTAACTAACTGAATTGTGTTTCTGTTCCCAAAGCTTTTTCCAAGAAACTGGATCCTGCTTATCAGATTGACAAAGGAGGACGTGTGAGGTTTGTTGTTGAGCTTGCCGATCCAACAGTGGAGCTCAAATGGTATAAAAATGGTCAGGAGATACGACCAAGTACCAAGTAAGTAAATATATGAGTTATAAACGTTATCACCGCATAAATAAATGCTACTTGCAAATTCCGCGCTGTAACAAGATTTTGATCTAACTGCTTTATTTTTCTTCACTTACTGACAGTGGAAGATTTATTGTTAATTCAATCCACCTAATTTTGTACACAGACTAGATTTCTGTTAATCGTTCCTCTAGATTACTGTTCCCAGAGATCTTTGTAGATATTATGAAATCCATCAGTGCATGTGAACAAAATTATACCAAACAATATTTGGATCTAATGTGGCACACAACATTACTCTGATGGGATTATAATAAAAAACAAAACAAAGCAAATTTTCCTACTATATATGAGGTCACTGTAATCATTTTTTTATTTGGATAGATTGGGAAAAGATCAAAACTTCTGGCAGCTTTTTATTGCTCTATGTGATCTAGCTGGTGGGATTCACCCTCCCTTTTTTGTCCCACTGATATCAGAACAAGAAATGGGGGGATCAAAGGTCACAGTGGGACAGGAAGGCACAGACAGTAGTATATAAAAACTTGCAATGCTTCTACCCTTTTTCATTGTACTAGAAAATGTGTTTGTTGCTCTCTTTGTCTTCAGTGAAGTGATTTCTCATTGCTCCTTGACCTTTTCCCACTGACCAACTGTCACTGGGAGGAAGTCTCTTCAATGTAGACATAGACAGCAATATAAAACAAAGAGATATTCTTAACCCTCCCCAAGTTATCTAAAACAAAAAGAAATGTTTGGCTGGAGTTGACCACATCTGCTACTTTGCTCTGTGGAAGTCTTGCTGTTTACCAGCATATGTTAGTGTAGAGTAGACACTGACAACCTTTTCCAAGTGTCATGTCCTAGACTGCCTACTAGTATCTTCCCCCCTTGCAAGGAAAGTTGTTCAAAGTTTTAACGGGTTATATTTGTTGATTACAACAGTGCGTAAATACTTAATGTGTTAAGCACTGCATAGTGCAATATAAAAATATTTTTTATTTAAACAGGTACATATTTGAACATAAAGGAAACCAAAGGATACTGTTTATTAATAACTGCACATTGGCAGATGATGCTGCATACCAAGTGTGTGCTGGAGATGAAAAATGCTCTACAGAATTGTTTGTTAGAGGTTTGTATTGCCATATGTATGATGTCATCAGCCTACATAGACATTCAAGCTCATATTTTTTTTTTTTTTTAAAGGAGTAATGAGTGTCACTACATTTAAGATTAGAAAGCTCATTGCAATCACTTCATACAAAATGGCATGGTACAGTGTTGTACAAGAATTTTTGGCCACATTTATATACAAACTAGAAGACCTACTCCAGGCAAATAGTACTATTTAAAACGTGTTGAAAGCCTGCTAGAAGCTTCTTTAAAGTTACACCCAGCATTACCATTAAAATACATCTAAAAGCTCCTGTATGACTGTCTAAACAAGCCTCAAGCATAGTTACTATGTGATGCAAAAGTCTAAAAAAAACTTTTTACCTTCCCTGAACCATTACTGTAAAATCCTCCTTTATTTGTGTCTCACACACTCATCTCCGAGCCACACACCGCTTAGAACCACATCGCTTAGAACCACATTCTCATCCCACTGAAGCTTAAGCAGCCTACATGAGTGATGCTTCTAATTTAGTAGCAGTGCTGCAGTGTTGTTCCCCATCCTAGAAAGCTGCATGAGGTGGACTTCACTGGCAGGATGAACAGGTCTTTGCAGAAGGGCATAGATGCACTTACAATGAAGTGCAACAGCACAACTATGTTTAATGTGAGGCTTTAGTTCTACTACAATATCTAAGTTTAATATTCCCATGCTGGAGCTGAGTTTGATTTTAAAGGCTTTACCAAAGCTGCTGGGAGCTTGCAAAAGGATTTTAAAATACTCTGTAAAAGCTTGCTGTACACATTGGTCTTTAATATACTGAGGCCGTATGTACAAGGCCTTATATTCCTCATGTATGAAAGTTGAATATTGCTTTAAGGCTTTAAGAATGCTATGTGAAACTTGCTCAAAGCATTGAAAAAGCTACAGATGGACTTTATCATTAAAACTGCAATGTTTAAGTGAAGAACTGAATTTCTCCTAATTCCATAACTAGTAGCCTTGATATAAATGCAAATTTCCTAAAATGCAATTTCTGTTTCTGGAGAGGTAAATCTCACAGTTATACTGTTTTTGAAGTAACATTTTGCTTGGTCCCCATGACAGATCCACCGGTGCTGGTCACTAAGGAGCTGGAGAATGTCAGCACATATTGTGGAGAAAGAGTGGAACTAGAATGCGAGGTATCCGATGAAGAAGCCAATGTGAAATGGTAAGTTATCCAACCTTTATATCACTTCATAATTGGTGAAAATACACATCTTTCAACTTGCATATTCCTATTTATTTTAATATAAAACATCACATATAAATGTGTTATGGGCACTGGCAGAACTACCAGGGTCTGTAGTGCTGACTATTATAATCTATTGCTGGGACTTGTAGTCGCACATAGCTGGTGGCATTCTACATTGCTGTATGATGATTATACAGCAATGCAGAATAGCTCGAACTATGTAGGACTACAAGTCCCATCAATGCATTATTGTGGGGGGTGCTGGTGGTATTCTGCATACCTGACTTTTATTATAATGTATTGCTGGGACTTGTAGTCCCGCATAGCTGCTGGTATTCTGTATTGATGTATGATGATTATACAGCAATGCAGAATAGCTCCAAATATGTAGGACTACAAGTCCCAGCAATGCATTATATTTTTAAGTAGGGATACAACAGTGCCAATACTGTGCATTATCACGAGTACTTATACGCCGATGTAGTCGAATTTGCCGAACTGAGCATCTACGCTTGTGCACAGACCAATATTGTCGAGGAAACCGGGATTTATTCACAAAGTATTTTGTTTAAATCGTTAATTGTGACCGTTAATAATATTCCCTCCGTCATTCACTGCCATGCATGGTTTATTATTAACGGTCACAATTAACCATTACAAATGAATACTTTGTAAATAAATGCCGGTTTCCTGTCTGTAAGCAAGCCCAGATGCTGGGTCAGTGTTCTCGACACAACAGCAGCACTAAAATTTTAAACAAGCGGCTGCCTGAGGTCCCGCGCTTGCTGGGGACCTCAGCAGCCTTCCTGTAAGCCATGCGGTGCCATGGCGGTTGGGGGGGCCCTTCATGACTTCTTGCACCGGGGCCCTGAAGGTTCGAGTTATGCCTCTGGTTATGGATATGTACGTGTAAATGTTATGAACAGTTTGTTTTGGGTTTTTCAGGTTTAAAAATGGTGTGGAGCTTACCAATGAACCAAGGTCAAGGTACAGACTAAAGGTGGATGGCAAAAGACACATTCTAATTATAGATGATGCCGACAGAGGAGATTCAGCCACCTATTCTGTGATGACTACTGGAGGACAGTCAGCAGCTCAAGTACAAGTTGACCGTAAGGGCTTATTGTAGCTAATGCTTAAATGCGCTTAATAGTTCATGTGAAGAATTGATCATTTACAGAGAAATACCTCCATTGAATGGTGAATTTAAATTCCTAACATTTGCATGACATTATTGTGCTAATATTAGCTCAAAGAAGTTCAATCTACCTTGCAGATTTCCCATCAAGAATAACATTCAGATGTGTCATACACATGGAATGGACAGTTCCCTTTTACAAAAAGGATAATTACTAAATGATTACAAAGATCGTATAACATAATTCAAAATGCATTAGTGAGAACTGTTATTAATGAGAATGGCATTTGCAAGTGATTGTTATCGCTGAGTAGTTAAATCCTAATTCCAAATGTTAGGACCTCTGTCAGATTTGTAGTGCTCTCTGTGTCTTCATGGTGGGAGATCTCCCCTCATATCTTGCCCCAGTGACATACTGTCACACCCTAACAGGGTCTAACTAGAACAGGAACTAAAAGCATTGTCAGTCCTACCTAGCTGGGACTGGAAAAATATGACATTTTAGGAATTATTAGAGTTAAGTTTTCATCAGCTATTATTGTATAGCTGATGTTGTGTTTTAGACTTTAATATATGTTCTCTTTAACATTTAGCAGGGAGGGATATATCATGGGGGTGTCCAGTACTAAAAATCTGTAAGATTTTAAGGGTCAATAATGTTTCAGGGGCAGTTCTCCAAAGCTCTAGGTCCATCTATGCCTAGAAATAAAAGTTTTGGTATTAATAATTGCATTGTTGTATCTATTTTTCCTAAGTGCGACCACTGAAAATATTGCAACCCCTAACTGATATGACTGTGAATCTTGGCAAAGAAATTAATTTAAAGTGTGAAATCTCTGAGAATGTTCCTGGAAGGTGGTACAGAAATGGGCAGCTTATTTATGGTGGTGACCACGTGAAGATATTTCATAAAGGAAGGTGAGAACATCTTGATAGATCTGACTTCATAGTATAAAAAACTATCACGAAAAATTCTAGAACTGCTTCTTTAATTTGATATTTGTAGCACAGCATAAGACCATTCTAACACCATGTTGTCTGTATGTCATGTTGGATCAAAACTGAGGAATTCCTATTTATATATACCTTAACCCTTTTTGGCCATAGTTCTTTTCAGGGTCACAGGAGGACATATACTAATGTGCTCCGGTGACCCAAGACTTAGGGGTCTATTCACGAAGCTGCCGAAGGATCTGACCGTAGCTTCGGCCGATCCTTCGGGTAGCTTCGGCCCCAGGACCCCTTCGGTTCAGTAGTGGGTTCAGTAGCCATTGGCCGGCCGACAGCCTGCTTCTAACAGCTGGGCGGAGCCAGCCGTGATCTTACGGCTGGCTCCGGCCACTTGCAGAGAGATCAGCGTCCCTGGTTACCTGCTAACCAGGGACACTGATCTCCAAACAGCTAACTCTCACTGGCGGCCCGGGAGTCTCCTGCTCCCGGCCGCCAAGGAGAGAAACACTGCTGTGTCTTTTTTTCTTTATTCTGACACGAGCGATGTCAGAATAGAAAAAAATAAATTTCCCATTGAAAAGCATTGGGACATTACTATTGGCTATTTCAATTTGCAATAGCCAATAGTAAACTAGCATTATACCCGCCCTCAGCTGCAGTTCCCCATCAGGTCCATCAGCAGAGGGCGGGTACAATGCTAGTTTACTATTGGCTATTGCAAATTGAAATAGCCAATAGTAATGTCCCAATGCTTTTCAATGGGAAAATAAAAAATTTTCTATTCTGAGATCGCTCGTGTCAGAATAAAAAAAAAAGACACATCAGTGTTTCTCTCCTGGGTGGCCGGGAGCGGGAGGCTCCCAGAGCGCCCGGGAAATTTTTTTTTTCTTTTTTTTTTTACAACAACATTCACTCGGTTGCCCTCGGCAGCTTAGTGAATAGACCCCAAATAATACATTTACCTGCATTAATCCAGCAACTTTCCGCGTTCAAGGTTTATTAGGAACGTAAAACTCAAGCAAATGAAATAGCAGTAAGGTGCTTATGAATAAAATAACAGTTAAGTGACTGATATCTGATGAGAATGAAACATCAAAATTATCCTCTTGCATCAGGGTAAGGCAAACAATCACAAAGCCAGTGAGGGCTAATCATTTTCAATACTTTTGTGTTACTTTTTTTTATAAATCCTTTAAAATAATTAAATCAGCCATTTAAAATAAAAAATACTAATGCTAGGATTATTTTGTTTTCTTAGGAATCACAGATTAATTATAGAAAATGCCCTTGTTGAAGATGAAGGCGATTATGTATTTGTTCCTGATCTTTACCTTATTAATATTTCAGCCAACGTACATGTCATTGGTATGTATTCTCAGCTATTAACAAACCACTTATGTAATTTTTATGACTTATTCATCTATACTTCATATCTTCTAGCTAGCATATACCGTATCTGCCATTGACTTAATTGTTATTATTATTTTTATAAAAATATTTTTGTGTTTATTTAACTATACGATAATCAGCAGAATAAATTGTATGTTTCCCTTGCAGATCCTCCAAGAATCCATTTCGACTCTCTTAATTACCCAGATAATACTGTGGTAGTAGTAGCAGGAACAAAGCTGCGCCTTGAGGTTCCAGTTACCGGTGAACCTGCACCTAAAATTATCTGGAGTAGAGGAGATAAGGTAATAATTATGGCATGTTTTATACCTTTTACTGACAATATGGGAGATGATCTAGATAAACAAAATGGAAGGAGCATTTGAGAGCAAACCATATAGGACCTATTTCATTACACATAACATACTGCTAACTTTGAAGTGTGGCTGAATAACACTTATTTGTAGTTATTATTTGTACTTTAGCAGTAATGCTTAGCTGTTGGAGTTCACTGTGCACTGCATGTTAACCTGCTGGAAAGTGCAAGATGTCTAGAATCCCAGATATGGAAGTCTTTAGTGGAAGCATCAGCCACATTGTAGCAGTTGATTAAAAAAAAAAATTTTCCTTATTGTCTCTTATCAACACATTTCAGAAACAGAGTACTGTTCTATCATCAGGATAGAAATGACAACACCATTGAGACATTAAAGGAAATCTCCCCAGCGGGGCCTCAAACAACAATACAATAGAAAGCTTTAGGACATTTCACTGACTACTGTGATGAGGCAGTGGGTTTGATTTACTAAAGAAGTAGATAATGTTCACTTCTTGTCCCACTAACATGAAGAAAGGAACTGAGAGAAAATCTCCCCAATGATGACACAGAAAGATATACAAAAACTGACAACATTTCTAATTCTTTTCCACCCAATCTGAAGCTAAAAAAATCTCTGGAGCTGGGTTATAAGAATTATTTTTCAATGTCCTTTGTAACTTTTAGTGGATCACAGATCTGAGCGGTCGTGTAAGGGCAGAGTCTTTCCCTGATCATGGACTTTTAGTCATTGACTGTGCAGAAAAGGAAGATACTGCGACATACAGGATGATGGTAAAGAATGAAGCAGGGGAAGCTGTAGCTCACATCAAAATAAAGGTTGTTGGTAAGTTGGAATAATGTTTATATTGTTATGGCCATACTATACCTACCAGCCAGATCCTTTCGCAATTTAAGTTAACAATATACAACATAATCAACCTTACTTGCAATTGTCTGTGCAAGTGGACAAAGTAGAAGAAGACTTGGTTGGCAGGTATGTCATTCTTTTTTCACAGCTAGTAGAATAATTACACTTTAACTTGTCCAGCTTATATTTAAATTGCAGAATTTAAAATCTAGTAATACATTCTTAAGTTGAATGAATATAGGTACAGTATATTTGTATTTTTTATTGTATTTTATTTCCAGTGTTAATCATACTGAAAACATCATCTAATTGAGTTATGAAAAGCATAACTTAGCTTATACGGTACCTGAAGTATCAACATCAAATGATCCCATTCTTCAGCACAATATGTCTCATTAAGTAGATTTCCCTTCAATTGGTGTCATGTAGATTCAACAGGAAGTGAGAGGATATACTTTTAATGTGAAGAAAAGTTCCTCTTAGACAGTTGTTACCGGTAAAAGTTGGAAAAAGTGTCCATTCTATTCCTGTCTTGATGAATATAAAAACGTGTGATTTACCCTAGCTTTCATTAGTGATCAGGGCAATTAAAGAGAGTTAATCTCCCTAATGTGATGAGTTTGGGTTTGGGCCAAACCCAAGCTCATTCGAGCCTGGAAGAAAGCTGTCAGTGCTGGCCCAATTAGCTATGGCCAGGGCATTCTCCACCACGCAGCTGCATGTAAACAAAGGGGTGGGATGCTAGTGTCATCATTGACCTTATATGGCCATATTAGGTCAATACCATTGACCAAATATGATCATGTGACATATAAGCTCAACAATGTCACCAGCATTCCACCCTTTTGTTTATGTGCAGCTGTGGGATGAGGAATGCTTTTTTACATTATTGATGAAAGTAGAAAAACCATGTAGTACCTATAAATACATGTGTCTTTAGATTTTAAGTATTTTTTCAAATGTCTGTAACATGAACAGAAATGACTTTTTTCAAGTCTAAATAATGTTTGTTTACTCTATCAGATATCCCTGATGCACCACTAGCTCCTGATGTAACTGAGGTTGGAGAGGATTGGTGTACTATGAAATGGGAGCCACCATTATATGATGGCGGATGCCCTATTATGGGTAAGTGAATTATGAGCGATAATTGTTGCCTTCATTCTGTTAAATAGAAAGTTACACTACAGCCGTTACTGTTTACCTAGTTCCTGCAGATATGTTAAAAGTTAAGACAACAATTGTAAGTCATATTTCTGTAGACAACTCCCTTTAGTATGTTCTACTAAAAAAGGTATGTGGTGGTGGTGAAGGGAATTAAAGTAAATCTGTTGCTTTGCCCTTCATCATTTGCACTTCACAACAAAATGCACCTATCCTGTTTGCTCTTTTCCCTGAACTAACTTAACTTTCTGTTTGTTTGCATTTACCACTGCCAAGGTAAATGTACATCTGTGAAGGGCGTGGGTGGGCTAGGTTAGATTAAGGGAAGGGGAAAGAAGGGATTTTTGCAGTTTGTTTTAAAGTGCATTTTTTCTTTAAAGGACACAATGCAAAGAAGGCTCTTTAAAAGTAGAAAAGCTTTTTTTAAATTCAATATTCCCAATAAGCAGACCTGAAACTTGTGCCATAACGGTGGCAATTAAAACCTAGTAGTTGTGAATTTAGCTATTTACCAGTATTATGTTCTCAACAATGTGAAAGAAAATATATTTTTCTGTTACATTCAAATTTTACAGGCTATTTTATTGAAAGAAAGAAGAAGCAGAGCTCCAGGTGGATGAGATTAAATTTTGACTTATGCAAGGATACCGTTTTTGAACCCAAAAAAATGATTGAAGGTGTGGCTTATGAGGTCCGGGTTTTTGCTGTCAACTCAATCGGGATTTCTAAACCAAGCCTGCCTTCCAAACCTTTTGTCCCATTAGGTAAGTACATTTCAGAATACAAGTCAGTAAGCATAATTTCTTGGTACTGGATTTGTAAATGTTAAAAATAAGGGTAATATTGTTTATAGCATAAATGAAGGGTATGAGGAATATTTTTTACAAAGCTTATTTTTTACAAAGCTGGTGATTTTCTGTTGCATACAGTACTGTTCCATACAGTATCGAATTTGCTGAAAGATTTAATTTTTATGGTTTGATCCTTCATGCTGTCTTGACAGTAGATGGAGGATGTTGTAGATAAGACCATGATTCTCCAGCCCACACACAGACAGCCCAGTTAGACATACAGTATGGTTGTTAGCCTAAGGGTAATCTTGTTTGTAGCATCAATGAAGGGTATCGGGAATATTTTTACAAAGCTGATGATTTTACTGTGATTGCATAAAGTATCAAATTTGCAGAAAGATGCAGTGTAGATGGAGGATGTCGAAGACAAGACCATGATTCTGCTGCCCACACACAGACACCCTCAGAAGGTGTTTTTTGGTTGAAAAGACAATTAACCTGGTTAGACATATATGGTTGTTAGCCTATTGTTCCCTGAAAAAAGATTAATAACAGCGGTATCTGCTAATCAGCTGGCAAGGAGATCATTCAATGGATGGGTTTTAACCTAATGTTCAACTGCCTTCTAATGCTGCTTCATTTTATTTAAACAGATTGTTCATTACTTTACTTAATTTCCCTTCAGCTGTCACGAGTGCACCAACCATGCTGACTGTAGATGGAGTGACTGATAACTCAGTGACAATGAAATGGAGACCTCCTGATCACATTGGTGCTGCAGGGTTAGATGGTTATGTTATTGAGTACTGCTTTGAAGGAGGTAAGAGTACGGCAGTCATGCTCCCCAGCCTTTTCTATTTATCTAACCCTCATTTACCTAAAATGAACTGACCCTCTGGTAACATATGCACAATTAAATATTTAACAATGAACAGTACTGTGCTGTTGTGTCTTAATCATGTCATCATTTATATTTGCAAGACTATGTTTCAGAAGTTTCTTTTTTTGTGTTCAAGAATGAATTGTGAATGCAAACAATTAATATGACCAAACCCATCCAGACTAACAAAACCATCAGCATTACTGCTGCCTGTGGGGTCCAAAGCAAGAATGTTGCAACCTTGTCAACACAATGACAAGATGAGACTTATCGCTGTGACTTTGTACATTGCTGCTGTGCACGTATATGATTCCTTTTTGAATCTGGACTGATAAGGAAAAGAACTCTGACATACAGTATATAGCATACCAGTACAAATATTTACAAATTTAAAATCTATAATGCCCAGCAGAAAAGCGCTACCAACTTAAAGTTACACATAGAACAAATTCACTCTGTAAAATGAATTTTCATTAAGTAGATTTTAGTGGTGATAAGCACTTCATAAGAGATCGTGCTAGTCCACAGATAATGTCAGACATACCAACCTATGCCAAGGATGCCAGACTGTAATGCAACCAACAGCCAAAAAAACCCATCTGTTTGGCCAGAGAACAGTCACATATCCAATTTAGTTTAGTTTTTAAAGTAATTCCTAAAACTTTCGTTAAATTGTGACATTCAGATGCATCCGAATTTCGGAATTTGAGTCCAAATGCGAATTAATCCGAATGTTCCTTTAATGAAAATAGGATTTGTTCACATTTGGACTTGTTCAAATTCAGAAATTTGGATGAATCTGAATGTCCCAATTTAATGAAATTCGTACGAATATCTATTCGGAACAAAATTCTATTTACATGTTTAGTCTTTGCATAGATTGACATGTACCCACAATCTATATGATAGCGTTTGGAGCTGGTGCTAGGTTTCATAGTCCCTAAGAACTATTTTACAGGTGAAACGGTGGGCGGCCGGTGTATTTCTTTATACTTCAGGGGCTTTGTGAGGAGAACAGTCATCTTTGGAGACCACGATCCAGGGAGGGAGTTCGCTATGGAAGCTTTACGTATACCATGGTGTCGATTTTAAAGTCTTGTACTTGATAACACTGCAACTTGTTATGCTGACCCATAGATTACATCTCTTAGTGCATATTTCAATTTAAAACTAGCATGCTTTAAATGTATGTTCTCACTAAAAAAAGCACTGAAGTCTTACTATATGTATTATTACACCTTTTTTTAACAGCCTGCATAGAAACATTCCTTTTTAACATACATATACCACTAAATATATGCATTAACCACATAGAATATACAATATATTGTTTACACTTTATTAGTTGTGACTATCCATGTAATATTAATTTCTAATAGCAAACACATTACATGAATGTATTGCAAAAAAAACATAAAGAGAAGAAGGATAAGGGAATTCTGACTATAAGAACATACTGCTGGAAACTTATATTTCTAATATTTAGCTCTGCATTATTCAGTTAGTTTTGTCATATGGCTTATACCACACAAATATTTTTCATTATTTATTATATAATATATTTCTAATTAATTTCTATTTTGTTAAAATGGTACATACTGTAGACATCTTTCCTCACACACTATTTCGAAGTGCAACAAGAGGCCTTTACATTTTATACTTGACTAAACTAAGTATGTGGAACTTCACCATCGATATTGCACTGATGTGAATGCCAGCATTAATGGTAGAGTAGATTAACACTGTTTTGTGTGTACATGCCAAGTAAAAACTAATGCACAAGTCAGATACAAATGCAGCCCCAGCTGTCAAAACAGTGTTTCTGAGGTTGGTACATCTTCACCAGGAGGAAATGAGAAGCACGAAAAACCTGAATTTACAGATCGGGAGACAGAAATTTTAGTTGATTTGGTGTCTAAGAGTGGCTCACAAATCTGTGGTGCTTTGTCTGCTAAAACTACCAAAGCTGAGAAGAGTAAGATATGGGGAGACATCCAAGCCAAGGTTAATGCCATGGGGGGCAAGAACAGGTCCGTTGCAGACTTCAAGAAAAAATGGAATGCTCTTAAAAAGCAAACCAAGGATAAATTGCAACAAAATATAAAAGACGTTATTGTGGAGAATGGAAATGTGCCTGAATCTGCTGGGAACCTTTCTCCTCTGGAGAAACGTGTGGAGGCCATGTTGGAACTTGAAGAGTTGGAAGGAACTCCTGGAATTGAAGAGGATATCCAAGATGATGTTACTGGAGGTAAAAAATAGTTTAAAATGTACAACCTTATTTAGTTTATAATGATATAAAGCAAGTATAGTGAATTACAGGATGGGGTATCACATCCTAGCGATAATCTCCACTTTTTATCCACAATTCCAGCAACAACCCCCTCACCCTCTGCAGTAGCACCTTTTCCCCACCACACGTCTTTCCTCCCTCCCTACCATTTCTACCATAATGAAGAAGAAAATAATTAACTGAATCCACCAATCATATTAAAGTCTTTACAGTTTCCATTAAAATAAAGGCTTGTCATTACAATGTCCATCTAACTGAATATCTATTACCTTGACTTCAGTTGGGCATTAGTAGTTTAATATAGAGATTTCTACATTACCTAAATTATATAGCATAGTGTAGTTGTGTACATGTACACAATATATATGAAGTACAACACAATATATATGAAGTACACTGTTATTTGTGGACAGACCCTGTAGTTTGCATTGCAAGTCAACAACCTATGGCTTGATTATAAAGGAATCCTTTTATGGTATTATGGTATTGTGTATCATTATTCAACAATATGGAGAGTACCTAATATGTATCAGTTTGACTTTAAAGTATATCGAAATACTTTAAACATTAGAGACTACAATATATTACCTTTGGCATTGACATTTGTGGAGAAATAATCCTAAAAATAAAAATCAGGCTCTTGGGTGATTGTCTCTACACCCAACACAACATCAACTACAGCTAAAAGTATGATACATATATCATGCATATTGCAAACATTGTTCTTCCCTCTTCTAGCAGAGATGCACTTCAGCACACAAAAAATAAGTCCTGCGCTATTTCCTAAAGCAATATTAATTTACAGGGTTATTCACAAAAGGGTGAACAGTTTGGAGAAGACAGGAGAAGTTTACAATCTAGGACAACATAGATGAACTTGAAAGTGAGCTGAATTGTAGAATTTTTCTAAATCAGCTTTGTTGTTCTAGATTGTTCACTTCTCCTGCCTTCTCCAAACTTTTCACCCTTTTGTGAATAGCCTTTTCTATCTAAAGTTATTCAAAACTTAAAATTGAATGTTGAAAATGTAGTTTTCTTTACCATTGTTTGGTAAGTGTATCAGTAGCAAATTATGTATTCTTGGCCCCATGAGCATGTATTAAATGCCATTTATCTGCGATTGCTCCATCTTCAGCAGGAGGAGCAGACATGCCGATAATTACAGATGAGGAAATGAACACTTTAGTGGATAATATTGCCAAACTTGGGTCCCAACTGTTTGGAGCCCAAACCAACGCTTCAGATAAGGACAAAATATGGGCAGATATACAAAAGCACATAAATGCTGTAGGGGGCAATAACAGGTCAGTCGAAGAACTAAAGAAAGCATGGAAAAACCTCAAGCGGCAAACAAAGAAAAAGCTGGACCATAACAAAACCCAGAAATTATTGGAGAGTAAAGGAGAAACAGCCAATTTTATTGAGTTGACATCCTTAGAAAAACGTGTGGAGGTTGTATTACATATCAAAGAAATTGACTCTGAGGACTTCCAGGAGGAACCAGATGAAGGTAACAAAAAATATTCTTCCATTAATATGCTTGTGCTTCACCAACCATTGTAAGAATACCTTTATTAAGTCTAACTGTATAACCAAATGTTCGTTTTGCAAATTGTCCCAACTCAATTTGAAAGATCAGCTTCTGTGCAGTGAAAGGTAGGAATTGTAACGCCACGCCAATGAAAATAGTCCAGATACAACTTTATTCCACTTGGGTAATTCGAGTAGCATAGCCAATATGTTTCGGGGGTCCAAAAACACCCCCTTCATCAGGGCTTGGTGACAGAAATCATGTATGTGGACTAAAGTCTCTGCAGCTTGAAATTTGTATTGAGCTGTGATGGGAAAACTTCTGGCTTGTCAGCAACTGATTTGGCTAGATTAAATCAGGTACACATATATAACGGACTGTAGCCCAATGCCTTTAAAGGCTGGCCGCTCGGCCAGTTTCGGCTTTCAGCGCGGCTCAGCCGAGCCAAGGCATATGCTGGCCGAAGCAACCTGCGGGCCGTTCGGAGCCAGTCCATGACGACGCCTGCGTTCCCCGGGCAGACGGCCTTTTCCTCCATTTTGACTCTCGGCTTGAAAAGAGGTGCCGCTCACCACGGGGCAGCACCCGTCGCCCTCCGTTACTAGATCCTTCGGCAGCTTCGTGAATAGACCCCATAGAATATCATCATCATGGAAACTTTTACAATTTATCACATCAGGTCTTTTACATTACACCACAATGTGAAAATGAACATTGCCCACATTTTAAACAGAAATTAGCAGAATTTAAAGACAGAGATGACATTTCATGAAAAAAACACCTTTTTAGAAGGCTCAAAGAGGAGGTCCAAAAAAAGAGTCACTTTGAAATAACAACTGGGACCACACTTCTCAAGCACTTTACGTTTACCATAGCAGGAAGTTAATATAGTTTGTGGTGACACAGGTATTTTGCACTTGTAGACTAGCAGAGTTTCTTTTAAAATATATGCCTTATTGAGCTAGAATTAAAAGGGGATTCTTGTGACAAGTATAGTTGAAGAGATGAGTGTTAAAGGCTTCAGACAGTGGGCTTCAGACACTGGATACAAGGTCCTAAATAAAGGACCAGATCATGCATCCTGAAAATATATGTACATATTCTGTACGAGCTGTAAAAGCACTTTAAAACAAGGATCTTTGAGAATGAATACTGTCATATTAAAAGCAGCTAGGAAGATCAGTGGTGGCTTGTTTAAATAATCTTTTATTGCTTGTTAAGAATACGTAATTCATTTAATGTCCATAGTCTGTTTTATATGTTTTTTATATAAGTTTATATGTATGTTTTATATCCTTCATAGTCATCATGTGATCCTTTATAATTCCCACTAGAGAGCTACCCTATCGTTCCTTGCAAATAACAGATAGAATGGCTTTCATTCATTTCTATGTTGCAAAACACTCCACGGTCTTCATTTGCTTTTGCTAGCATTTCTCTCATTAAATATATGTGTTTTGTGAAGCATTTTAAATCCAAACGTGGACAAAGAATATCATTCCTGGTAAATGTAAAACTCCAAAAGTGAAAGATTGTGGATCATGGATACTGGAGAACTTCATAGAGAAGAAAATGAAAATAATGCCTTTAGCTTTCCATGGATCATACTGCAAAAAACTATTTTTGGCGTAATTGTAATCTCTCTGCATCTTTCATCCCGTGGATATCTCCAGATGACAGTCAAGATGGACAATGTGCTACAGACCAGCAAGAACTACATTATATTGGTGATACAAACCTTGATGTCAAGACTGTTCCTAAGAACATCACACACTGTACATCAGAAATGTCCAACCATAGTAAACAACTATAGTAAACAGTCAAACTTAAAAAGTAAACAAGTCTTCTAAAGCAATGATTCATCTCTAATCATGTATCCCCTAACAAGTCATCACATAATAGTCCTATTTTATGACAAAGCTTTATGCTTTTCAAAGGATGCAGATGGACCATATCATTTCAGTTGACTAGATGTGCTAGACTTTAGGTTATGGCAGTCCAGTCAGACTTCAAAAAATGTAAGACTTGTCCTGTATAATTTTGCTTATTTTGTCATTGCCAAGATGCTTTTCCATTTTGCCTGACTGAATCCACTGTTTTTCATGTCATAAAAACTTTTATTAAAGTGGAGGTTAAGCATTGTGGGGGCTATCAGCATTTTCCATAATATGCAATTATGCACAGAATACTTGCACATTATGACACACTTACTTTTGAGTGTACTCTCCTCCAGCAATGGGAGGCCTGAGCTCCCTGTATCCACTCCATTCTCACCAGTTCCATGTCCTTTTCCTCTTCTTCTGTGTTACTTTACCCCATCCATTGAGCAGGCACTGTTGATGTAACTCCAGCACATGGGCGCTGGAGTTACATTACTCTGGGACCAGACTCCATTCTGAACATCTGTAAGATCATAGGACTGTACACTACATGCATCACAGGTATTGTAAAAATAAAAAAAGAGTTTTTGGAAGAAAATGTCTCTACCTGTAGGCAAATTTTTGTTATTTAGGTTTACTTCTGCTTTAATATATAAATGTTTTTGTCACCCAAGACCAACTCCATCAAAACTGATCTGTTTTACATGGCTGGATCACTGGCTGGCTTTTTATATCTCACAAGAACTCCAGTGAAGAGATATTCATACCTGAATTTTTCATATTCAACCTCCATTGCCATTACAAAGATGGTGTCAGTCTCTTCCGACAGATTCTGAATTGTTTTGATTAAATATTTGGGTAATCCAGTAGCAAGACTCAGTTGTTATGATGCTGTAGGAGTGGCCAGAGACACAAAATACTATAGGCAATTGTAATTACTGGGTTTTATAAAATATATATAAGAAGCCAGAGGGTTATTTAACCCACTAAAATATTGGTTTTGGTGAAACTGGCCTTTTAGTGCAAAACATATTTTCATTCTAAGGGCCACAGCGGTGGATGAATTGCCTATTTTTTTGATTTGCAACCTGATACAAAATGATATGAACCAGAGACAGGTTATATTTTTAAACTCTTCATAAATTGTTTTTCATTTTATTTACCAGTTCCATGCACTTTTGACTTTCTACAAAATACATAAGTCATTAACACCAATGAATATATCGACCATAGCAATGGACATTTAATATTTAGTTTATTAATAGGATAACCACATGAATAAAGGTAGACGCTCTGTCATTAAACTCTGTACATTACAATATTTATAACGTGTGTATGTTTGTGCATTATTACTATTGCAGTTTGTTTTTTTCAGCGGAGGAATGGATTGTTGCAAATCCTGAAATGACAGATAAGACAAGGTTCACAATTAATGACCTGCCAACAGGTTCTAAAATCTTTGTCAGAGTTAAAACAGTGAATGCTGCTGGTAAGAGTGACCCCAGAATACATCCCCAGCCAATCTTAGTAAAAGAGGTCATAGGTAAGTTTCAGCTTAACTGGATAAATAAACATTCTTTCATTTTGTTCTTGTCATAAAATGTGTTATATTTATTAGTAGACATGTGCGATTCGTTTCGTTCCGAATCGAAATTCGGACGAATTTTTGGAAATTCGGACATTCGGATGTATCCGAATTCCGAATTACAGACATAACAAATGCAAACGAATCCGAATTTCCATTTCCGAAATTCGGTAGCGGTAGTTCGAACGTTTGTTTCGTATTCTGTTCCTTTTCGTTTCTTATTCGTTTCTTATTCATTTTGTACGTTGGAGCAAAGTGACATTAGAGAAGGAGAAAAATATTTTTTCCCCCTCAAATGTCACTTTGCTGCAAACGAACGAACGAAACGAATAAGAAACGAATAAGAACAGAAAACGAAACGAACATTCGAAACTACCGCTACCGAATTTTGTCCGAATCCGAATTCCGAATCCGAATTGACTTTCACACCCGAATCCCGAAAAACGAAATAACACAAATCCGAATTTAAAACTAAACTAAACTAAACGAATTTTTTGGCAGTGCACATGTCTATTTATTAGTCAACAGTGTTTTGGATTAGGTAGAGCATTGAATCCTAATTTCTGTTATATTTTATTGCTACAATCACTGTAGCAAGGATCAAATAGTTTATTACTAATTGGTGAATAACACTCTATTACTTCATATATCTAAAGAAGTGTGACTGCTGCAATAAAAATACATTTACAACTTTAAAATCACATGGATAAAAGTACACAAATGTGGTATTGCAGAAGGTTTAATTGTGTTAGCTCTTTATAACATAATAACCTGTGGAGGAAACAAAATGATGGGTATCTGCTTAGCAATAGTCATTGATTAAACGGTCAGGATAGTGCAGCCATGATCTTGGTATCATTCTAGGTGGCTGTAGAGGCACCCAATCAATTGTACTGGTGAAGCTGCCATCCCCCAGCCACATTCCCCACCATAGTTTCTGGGCTCACCTGCTCCTCTGGGGGGCCCAGGACCACCACAAAAAGAGTCAGGATGGTGAGTGGGAGCAGACCAGGGAATTTCCAATCCCTGTCAATTCCCTGATCTGCTCTATGGTCATTGTAGCAGGAAGTGCTGAAATGTCAGTAAAACAGGTGATAATGCATATTCCTGTGCTCGATCCTCTGCAGTGGAAAGAAGCGGAGATACATATTAGGTGTGTGTATCAACCTTCACATGTGCACTGCATTCTTGGGGCTACAATTCCTCTGATACTTCATATGCATTAAACGGCGCTGTGGGAGTTTACGTTGGATTGCTAATGTGGCAACAATCAGCAATCCAATGTCCGTGATAGATAACAAAATGAATGTCTGTTGATTAATTGTGTTTAGATAAACTTTTATTCACTCACGCTGGCTATGGAAGAAGGATTCTTGAAGTGTTTGATGTGTAAAGATGGTAAAAGCTGTTATCGATGTCCTGATAGTCTTCGGAGATGTGTACACTCCATCAAGTATTTAGTAGGAGAGTAAACAATGGTGTGCAGGTTTATGTGTTAACATTTCCCAACCTGCTGTCAGGTTGCCTGGTCTGCTAAATATAAAACAGTTCATGCTTACTTTCTCACAGGTAAAACAGAAAAGGTTCCACACTAGAGAAGCTGCAAACTGCAATTAAAACTTGACAAAAATTCTAACCCATCTATCTATGGTTTTGGCTTTAGATATTCTTTAAATGTGCATGCAGATGACATCCATATATATGTATTGACCATGATAAATGAGGAAGAGAAAAGAAGTCCAGGGGAAAATACTTTAACTTGTTTTAATAGCTCCAGGAAGATTTTGCTTCATATCTTGCTTGCTCTAACCACACAGTCAGAATGAAGCCTTGGCCTTGGCTAGCTCATGTCAAGCCAATGTTAGTAGACACGTAAACTCACCACACGTTACAATCTGTCTGCACGATCTTCTTTAGATTTGCCAACAACTATGTACTGCTTGCCCTAATGGATGCAAAATTATTAAATAGTTTAGATAGATCCTCATATTACATACACGTGGTATATCTAAAGGAGATTGCACAGCCAGAGTTTACTGTGAACATAAAACTGATATCTAGCTGTCCTGTTTAGAATTCAGTGTTTCATTTCTTTTGTAAAAGGATGGAGAGTACAACTATTCTGTAAATCAGCTACTAAATTTAAGGAAATCATAGTAAATTATCGAGGGTGAAGTTTCTCATAACCATATTTAGAAAAAATTAATTTTATTTTTATCTTTCATTGTTTAGTACCTCCAAAGATTCGTCTTCCACGACACCTAAAGCAAACCTATATTCGAAAAGTTGGAGAAGCTGTAAACCTTGTAATACCTTTCCAGGTACCAATTGTAACTTGTCTTTTAAATATGAACACTCATTTCTAGTTAAGCCATACTCTCGTTAAAAATAGAAAAATGCCATTTGAATTGAAACATTTTGTTTGCCACATTGTGCCGAGCCCCCACTCTGCTCTGGAAAACTCTATGGTTCCCTAATTTGATTCCATGGGGAATTCCCTGCCCCCATACCTACAGGCATGCATTTTGGGATTTGCCATATTTCAGATCCACACATATTGGAGAGACATTCTCTTATGCACTTTCATATAATTAAAGCTGAACTTCAGGCAAACAGCTAAATACTCAGAAGAAATACATATATGACAGCAGTTTTACCTGCCAAAGGATTTATATTTCTATCTATCCATTTCTGAGATTTACACCGCTCTGCCACACAGCACAGCCCTATTTGGCAGGGGAGGGGAACTTATCTTTCACTGCTGCAGCTTCACCTTCATTTGACGGTCTCTTTCCCATCCCAACCTAGTTACTGGACAATAAAGAATAAGCAGCATTTTCTTGAGTTTACCTCTCTGTCACAGATCCTTAAGGTGGCATACAACTCACTGAACTTAACTGGTAGTTACCCAGCACATATTTACTTATTTATTTCCTTTTTGTCTTTCATATCTGTCTGGAGTTTAGTTTTTGCATACCCTAGTACAGCCCCACTTGAATTATGGGTATCACTTATAATACAGGGACACATTCTGTTTATATTAATATCCCAAATGTACACTCATATTAAATATTTAGACACACCATTATGTTTTAAAAGCATGTAAAAAAAATGTATTGTATGTAGGTTTTTTTCTTACAACTATTTATCATTGTACATCTCTGTTTATTTAACTGTATTACTGTATTCACTGTATTATTAATTCACTAGTTATAGACAAAGGCCACCGTAGTAAAGGTAATCTTTTTAAAACTTTGACATGTTTTTCTTAGGGAAAACCCAGACCCAAAGTATCTTGGAAAAAGAATGGCTCACATGTGGACAAAACACAAATAAGCATCCGCAACACTGAATGCGACACTATCCTTTTCATCCGGAAAGCAGAGAGAAGTCATTCCGGAAAATATGATTTGAAGGTGAAAGTTGAGAACCTACAAGATAAGGCATCAATCTTTATTCAGATTGTTGGTAAGAATTTACATACGTTTCCATGCATGCATTCAGTACAGTGTTTCTAAAGTTCATATATTATGTATCATTTTGTAACATCAGGTGTTTGCCCTCAGTTTTTGATGTTTTATCTAATGCACCCCAGAATAGACTATACGTGTTTATATTCTTATTTGGTGAAATATAGTGGGCTTGGTTTACTAAAGCAACACATTTTACTTAGCTCAGTGATGCCCTATTTACTTAATTCAAGCAACTATATGCAAAGAAAAAATATTTTTTTTTTGTATTCCTTTTCACATAATTGGAAGTTTAAAAATGAACAGAGATTCTCTTTACTAAATTGTGTTTTGTGTGGGATGTATTATTGTTACGTGGGGTACCTGTACCACTGGCTGAGAAAATGTGCAATAATTAAGAATTCTAATAGTTTATTCTGATAAACATCACTATGATATAATACACCTTAATGCTTTCCATTATTTACAGAGATGTCAAATGATTGTAAGTGAGCTGGGTGGAAAATGTTGTCTTCTAAAATCTTACTAATTTTTATACAAACGTATTCTGCAGACTATTAGGGAAAATAACTAAATAATTCCTTTTGTCTCTGTCTCTGACAAAGTGTATGGTCTGATGCTCCTATTAGATAGGCAGATACACATACACATGCCTATATGCATCCCACCTCAACCTAACCACTGAACCGTCACGTTCTCAAACAATTCATCCCCACACAGCTACCTCCTCATGTATCACTTCCCCTTCCCCTTTTAGATTGTATGCCCCCAGGGGCAGGGCCCTCCTTACCATCTAGTCTTAAATTGTATTGTGATTGTAATGTCTTCCTTATATTGTAAAGCGTTGCGCAAACTGTTGGCGCTATATAAATACTATGTAATAATAACAATATGCATGAACGCTCATGAACTCAGCATGAGCATGTTTTTGGGTTTTGGAAATAAACCTGAAAACATACATATTCAAAGTAGCTAGTGTTTCACATAGGGATCAAACCCAGAACCCAATGCAATGAAAATTTGATAGCTAATTGGCCTGTATGTAATTATAACAATACATAACCTAACAATATATTGTATGTGATATTTTTACCTGCTTGACACGAAATGTTGAAAGGTTTTATAGACCAGGTTAACTAAAACTACCACCAGAAACTTCCAGAGTTTCCATTCCAACTTGTTTTTAAAGGTGCATCTTCTAGGGCTATCATACTTATTCTTCCTTTACTACTTGGTAAGTCTCTACCATTGAAAAAGCATGTACGCATATGAGAATCTTCCATATTTCTGTCCTGACAGGTCTATTTTACCTGCCCCTAAGGACCCTCTGATCTGAGAAGCTCAATATCAGTGCAGTTAAACAATTAACTTGTTGTATGTGCTTATATTATGGCCAAAGCCATTCTGATAGTGTACATACTGGAAATGGAACCCTAAATGCCAGTGCTACAAGACAAGTGTGCTTATCATACTGCCTAATTTAAATATCTGTGTCCACACATGTCACTATCTTGGGCAAGAACCTGTTATGTGCAGTGTGTAACTGGATTATAGCTACAAGGACTGTGTAACTACAGAGTTGCAAAATAAGCAGTCCAAGGTTTAAACAAACTTTTCAGAATGTCTGAAAGGTATTTGCACCCGTATTTGAAAGTGTGGAAAGAAAGCACTGAACCTGTGTGGTTATCCTCTTGGTGTTTCTCACCCAGCAGTAGTTAAGTGATGTGATTATGTGGGATCTGGCTGAAGGGTGGACAGCTTCTGTAATCCAAAGGATTTCCACAGTATCCTTGGCTTGACAGTGAACCCAGTAGATGTAGGAACCGAACTGCCGCAACAATTAAAATAGTCCAGGTACAACTTTATTACATTAGGGTCACGGCACACTCAAGTAGAGACTCTATTTGAATTGGCATGTGCTTCAATTCCTATATCTACTGAAATATGCACCAGGGCAGTGTAGATTTTAGTTATATGGATAAAAATGATTGACTAACCACATACCTTTTACACTTTGGATAATCTAATATTCTTTAGGTAGACATCAGCCAATCAATCAAAATGTATGGTGCTGCATTAAAGACCATATACAGTAATATGGACTATATGATTCACAATCTCCTAATCTTTGTCTATCTATTCATCCAGAAAAACCTGGACCTCCACAGTCTGTAGATATTGAAGAAGTGTGGGGAGAGAATGTTGCACTAGAATGGAAGCCACCAGTAGACAATGGCAATGCTGCAATCATAGGATACACTATACAGAAAGCAGACAAGAAAACCATGGTACACTGCGCAAACTGTTGGCGCTATATAAATCCTGTATAATAATAATAATAATACACTGTTCATTCATACTTTCTGTTTTCTTCCTTTTGTCCACGGCCAATATAGAATTAATTTGCACACTATAATGTGTTTTTCTTTTTTGCCATAAGGATCATTATTTTCAGTTATTTTATTTGTTATTTTTTTGCACTCCTTGGCTTACAATGCTGTTCATAATGATCATTTTACTAAATAATAACCATTACTGCTTAGTGAATTCAGCCTTAAAGTGTATCCAAACCCAAGAATAAAAATGTAAATTCATGTAGTCCTTAGGTGAGGTGGCTGCATTCATTTTCCTTTTTTTTTCTTGTATGAAATGTGTCATGTATGAAATGTGAAATTTCATGTGTTTAATCTAGAGCATTAACAGTTATTCCTATACCTATAGGAATGGTTCACAGTTCTGGAGCACTACCATAGAACCAGTGCAACCATATCAGAACTTGTAATAGGAAATGAGTATTATTTCCGTGTCTTCTCTGAAAATATGTGCGGCCTCAGTGAAACAGCAACTAGGACCGTAAACTGTGCACTTATTGAGAAGGAAGGTAGGATGGTCAATTTATATGTTGCTTTTATTTTCTAGACTTGCAACATGCTTTATTTACTTTTCTTTGTTAAAATGACTTAGCCGCTAAAGAAAAAAAAACAACAACCAGCCTGTAAAAGAAAAGTAATTATACTCCAGGGATTCCTATCTTCTTGCAGAGCAAAAGAATTTCCAGCATCCAACACTTCCTTGGCTGTACACTGTCGTTCCAGTTGCAAGCCGCTATGTTACAACAGCTCTGCGACGATACAGTTGTGATATAGCAACCAAAAGGTGGAACTCTAGTGTGTAACAAGGAGACATGGGCATCTGAAAGTGTTGGATGTTAAAGAATCTTTGGCGAGAGTAGCTCTTCAGGAAAGTGAACAATGGAGTCTCTGGCGGTGAGACTGGTAAGTGTTATTGCTCTTCTTTTACAAGATGGCTAATTTTATTTTTATTACATTTTTTTTTTATATATGGACTCTTGGAAAGGTATCACACAAAATAATAGTGTCCAATCTTCAGAAATTTTAAGAGAGGGCTAGCATCAACTAATATAAATGTGTTACATCTTTTTTTGTTGTGTATTTCGTAACATAAGGTTATGATTTTACAGGAAAACCTTATAAGCGTCCAGAATATCAAGATTTTGACTTCAAAGAAGCACCTCAGTTTACTCATCCCTTAGTTCATACAGTAGCCATTGCTGGGTACAATGCTACATTGAACTGCAGTGTTCGCGGAAATCCAAAGGTAAATACTAATTATGTAATAGCTCTCCGAAATATAAAGTTTGGATTTAATTCATCTGAGAGGCCTGAAATTTCAATAAAAGTGAAAAATGTACTCCTTTAGTAAATTATCCCTTGTGAGGGTATCGTGACACACATAACTAATGAAATTTTCAATGCCCTCTCATCATTTCCATGATTAGTTTGCTGTAGAAATAAAGCTTAACGAATCATTTTTTTTTGTAGAAGCAAATAGAAAGTACAAACCAATAGGGATCTGTTACTTTTTTTTTTTAAACATAGATTTTTATTCACGGTTTTACAAAATACAGGCAATGGTAACAGTCTTGTGAGAATCAAGCAATGTATTACAGTAAAATTCACTACTCAGAATAAAGTTACCTCTGTTACAAAGATTAGCAAGTAAGGCACACAGTTAAATATGAATATACTGCTATACAGTTTGTGTAATCGATAAACAGGTTTGAATGCCATGCCCGTACACGTCTCTGAGTACTGGGGGGTAAGGGGGAGAATAGAACATAACAAAAGGAGAGGGGGACAACATAGGGCATATTAGGGTTAATCAGAGATTGGCACTACAAATTGCATCCCTGCGTAGACGGAGTGTTCGTTACGGTGGCAAACAATAAGGCCACATTAGAGGCATCCGGGCTGAAAAAGCATAGATGCATACAGGGTAGAAAACAATAAGAGATAGTCACGTGTGTAAACCTGAAGATACTTCCACGGGGTTTATTTCTACGAGTAGGGATTTGTTACTTTTAATATATAGCAAGTCATTTTGATAAGTTAATATTTTGTTATTTTGTACTGAGCCAAAATGGATAAATCAACAGCTCTCTACTTCCTAAACACTTTGGGTATGCTACACAAGCTGCAAAGTGCCTGGGGAGAGCTTCCAGGAATTAACAAAATTAAAGAAGATATACTTATGTGATCCGCAATCCCAGCTGGCTGCTAGACCAGTGCCCCACAGCCTCTTCTCCCCTGTGCTCCGGCGGTCAAATTCCCACTCATCATGTCTAATGCAGATCCATTCGCCTGCATTAGACATGAGGAGGCCATGTAGGGGGGGAGAGGTGAGTGCTGACTCCCGCAGGACCAAGGATCAGGTGAGTATATAATTTGCATTCCGACCCATAGATCAAAATGAGCAGTTAACCCTTGCAGTTCAGGGGTAGCCCCACTGCAAGAGTTCATTTTGATAATACCTGGAGTTCCTCTTTAGCTTATTGTATCCCATGTACCACAGTAAGAAGTGGAGATGTGAATATCAAAAATACAGTAATTTTACGCTCATCAGTTGTATATGGATAAAAAGAACAATTTATTTTTGAAGTAGAACTATTTATGGAAGTAGTCTCCATGAGTAAGCCTATTTGGTGGAATGCGCAGTATCGGTGTGGCATGATTTTACTGTGCACTTGGAAAGTATGAACTTTCAATAAATCTGACTTTTTTATGAACTGTTGGATGTGCGGCTCTAAGTTGGAATTCCAGGATTTTGTTACGCCAGCATGTATCTTTAAAGCCTGCACCTGATTGATGTGACTGGTTAGGTCGGTGTGAATTTGGGGATTGAGTGATGTATACTTTGAAATTCAATGATTATTTATGGAAGTGATTTGATGGACTGAATATCTTCACGCATTTGTGTGGACATCAGTTTTGGTTTTAACTTTTGCAGGTGTAAGCTTGCTGGTATAGATGTACTAACTGGTGCGGGGAAACAGTGCAGATGTTTTATAAACTTTGAGCACTATGAAGTGTCTTCACATATTTTTGGGGTCTTCAAGAAAAGACCTGTAGCACTGAAAGCCCAGGGTGGTCAGTTATGCAAATTTTGATTTTCATGCTCTGAGCCACCCCCTTCTAACTTTTACACCTACATCATCATGTGGTGGGCAAGCTTGCTGAGGGGCAGGAGGTGGTAGGGAGTATGCCAGAGATTGACGATTTAAGATTAGCTATGCAGAATTTAGTGATCTTGAAATTGTGCTCAGTCCATTATGCCAAGTCTTCATTCTACCCCAGTATACCTATATTTTACCAAAACCCTATAAGCTCCTTGTATTTGTTATTTCTTATTGGTAATATCCTTCAATGAACAGTGCTGTTATAGGAGTGTTGTATTACTTAACTATGATAAAGTTGGACTACAGATTATCAAGAGTATTACAAATACCAGCTCAAACAACAGGCCTATTAAATGATGTATGTTATTATTTGCAGCCCAAAATTACTTGGATGAAAAATAAAGTGATAATTGAAAATGACCCCAGATACAGAATGTTTAGCAACCAAAGTGTATGTACATTGGAGATACGTAAGCCAAGCCCCTATGATGGAGCCACATACACCTGCAAAGCAGTCAATGACCTGGGTGAGGCCGAAGTTGACTGCAAGCTTGAAGTGAAAGGTAAAGTGGTGTAATATTATTTGCAGTTCTTTCAATTAACCATACCAAAAGCAAGGATACAGAAAATAATGAAAATAATATACCCTACTCTTTCGTGGTGGTCTATTCATGTTAAACACTTGCTGCAGAGGAACATGGGGGCTATATCTAGATTTAAAAAAAAACATCAACCTGCTACCTAGAATCATATGAAATGCAGTAACATGCACTCACCTTCCACTTTAGTAGGTACACCTGTTCAATTGCTTGGTAACACATATTGCTAATCAGCCAATCACATGGCAGCAACTCAATGCATTTAGGCATCTAGACGTGGTGAAGACGACTTGCTGAAGTTCAAACCGAGCATCAGAACGGGGAAGAAAGGGGATTTAAGTGACTTTGAACGTGGCATGGTTGTTGGTGCCAGACGGGCTGGTCTGAGTATTTGAAAAACTGCTGATCTACTGGGGTTTTCACGCACAAACATCTCTCAGGTTTGCTGAGAATGGTCCAAAAAAAGAGAAAAAATCCAGTGAGCAGCAGTTGTGTGGACAAAAATGGCTTGTTGATGTCAGGATTTGCTTTCTAAATGAAAAAGTTTATCACTGTAACCAAGTTCCCTTCTACCTTCCTACTTTACAGCGCTAGCACTACTTAGGTACAGTTACATTTTTAAAATAAAGAAACAAAATAGAAAACAACAAAATTAAAAGTGGAATAAGAAATGATTTATCTCTGATTAATACCACCTTGTGATAAGTTGTGTTATTTATGGTGTTAAAGTACTGTATTAGTTGAGGTCTGACCACCTGGAAACTGACAGTGGGGATTATGGAAAGAAACATAACAGTGATTGTTTGTTTCAAAAACTTTTTATGTATGGATAATCATTGATTCTGGTACTGGTAATTTTGCATAAAAAGGTTTTCTTTCATCTCTAACCCTCACCTTTAAATTGTATGCCTGTGCACTAGTTGATATTTGTGCCTACTTGAGTCGCTGTGGGCCGGCAGCAATCTGTTTGAGGACCACCAATGGATGAAATTCACTGCTGTAGCCTACAGAATAAGAATCCACTGGCTCGTAATTACCAATTGTCTTAAAAAATATATATACTAAAAAAAAAAAAACATATCTCAATTTTTTTTTGCCAACATAAAAGTGTATGATGTTGAGTATTGTCGTGTTAGTAAATCTATTCATTTTGGGAAGCCTTCAGTATTTAAAGAACATATGCCCTATCAGAGAGGTTCATGCTGCATAAAGCATTGCTGCTTAAAAGATTTGCACAGATGTTGTTTCTGCAGATAGGTGTTATGTAGAGTATGCCATCTATCTGCTTACCCAATTAGGTGTCGCTTATACCGATATGCTAAAAACAGCATTTATCATTAAAATGTTCTGATTCTACAGGGTCAATAAGCGGAGAACCTTTCGGCTTGTGGAAACAGAAGCAGGTTTATTACACAAAATATTACACTCAATGATACTTCCCATTGATATAATCCCTGCTCATCTTGAACTGTACATTGCATGTAATACAAGTATTTGTAATTTCAGACTAGATTACAAATCTTGTTTCATGGTAAATCATACTTTGACCAGGCTATGCATTTTACCATAACCATAACATAACAAGATCTTTTCAATACAATATTTGACTTCATTCAGAAAATACACCTAGACCAGAACATTAATATACACAGAAATGTTCTTCAAAGTTCTACATTTAAGATCCTGATAAGATTACTTCTCCACCTATTGCAATTGATGTCGTCACCCTTTACCTGGAACTGTTATGTCACCAAGTGGTAGTGTGAACCTGGGCCACTATAACCATGATTGAGCTCTTTGGTCACAGTAGCTGACATTGTTCCATATTTTGGATGAACAGCAAGCACTGTAGGTGCCAATGTTAAATGGAATAGTGTCAATGGTAATGGCAGCTGCAGATGTCACAGAGATCAATAATTTTAACATTCTTTACAAGATGGTGATCACAGTACTCCTGGGCAGAGATGACCAATTTAACAGCAGAAACTGTGTACAAGGCCTAATATAAAATATATGGCAAACATTTACAGTTATAGCACACCTTAAGTACTTTGCTGCTTATTTGAAATGATTAATTCTAACAGCCATTCAAGTTCTAAAAACTAGATGCCAATACAATTGCAACAAACCAACATTCAGTGTATTTACATAGCTTTATTCATTTACCACATACCGTACATACAGTAGTTTTATTGTGATTTATGGTCTGTATATTACTTCTAAAACACAATTCTAATTTTTAACATATATATATTATATATCAAGTGTGATTCTTTGTGTGTGTGTGTGTGTGTGTGTCTATATATATATATATACATATATATATGTTTTTAGTGTAAACTCATCCCATTCCACAAAGGTTAACCCGTAAAATGCTGACTTGTAAACAACGGCAGACATAGATCTGCTAGTATGTGTTCTATTATTAATTCAGTGATTAATTGTATTTATAAAATGTATTAGACTACTGGCTTATACTTTTTACTGAGCTCCAACACCCACCACACCTTACTAAATGTTTAAACTATCATGACATCACATCCTGCTCAATTTGGTAATCATTGTCTTCTTTATTAGCTTCTAAGTGTTCATTACTTCTCTTTCTTTCTCCCTTAGTTGCACAATAAGGATTATTGAATGTGTATTGTCATCTAAGGTAAGCTTTCATATGGATATGTCATATGAAGCTTATGTCTTTCCAAGCAAAGCATCTGTTCATCTATAACCTAACTCTGGTTTGCTTCACCAGCTAACCCACCATTTTTTTTCAGAGATATCATTCAGCTAATATTTACTGACTTACATGTTTACTTCCTACTGGTCATTTTCAATTTCTTGTTTGGTTTGCTTAGAATCCAGCCAAAGCTGAAAGCAGTTTATGGCACCATGACATATGGTCAATGCCATGATGTTTGAATTAAACAATGAGAAACAACCTCATTATCCAGATAATAGCCGTTTTATCCATAATACATTATGACTATTCAGTTGGCTGCCTTAAAACACAAAAACTTTACCTAATGTGTTGGATGGACATAAAACATCAGTTTATCAATGTATAATTAATCCAATTCTATTATAGTTAACCTTTGAATTCAGAAAACAGGGTTTTTATTGGTGGACTCAAAGCTAAACATGGTCCATCCTACAACAAAGTGACAGTTTTGCCCGGACCCTTGCAAATATGGATTCATCTTTTTGCACATCCTGTGGCTATAACCTATCAACTACCTATATTATAAACTTGAATCCAAGACCAGATTTACCATCTGCAAATAGATGAATTTTCAGCAAAGGCAAATAGATGAATTTTCCATGTATTGTTATTTGGCAAGTAATTTATACTTACCATAAGTAAAAATACAGCCACCTCATATACACTATATTACCAAAAGTATTGAGACGCCTGCCTTTACACGCACATGAACTTGCGTGGCGTGGCATCCCACTCTTAGTCTGTCGGGTTCAATATTGAGTCGGCCCATCCTTTGCAGCCATAACAGCTTCAACTCTTCTTGGAAGGCGTCCACAAGGTTTAGGAGTGTGTCTATGGGAATGTTTTACCATTCTTCCAGAAGTGCATTTGTGAGGTCAGGTACTGATGTTGGACGAGAAGGCCTGGCTCGCAGTCTCCACTTTAATTCATCCCAATGGTGTTCTATCGGGTTGAGTTCAGGACTCTGTGCCGGCCAGTCAAGTTCCTCCACCCCAAACTCGCTCATCCATGTCTTTATGGACATTGCTTTATGCACTGGTGCGCAGTCATGTTGGTACAGGAAGGGGCCATCCCCAAACTGTTCCCACAAAGTTGGGAGCATGAAATTGTCCAAAATGTCTTGGTATGCTGATGTCTTAAGAGTTCCCTTCACTGGAACTAAGGGGCCAAACCCAACCTCTGAAAAACAACCCCACACCATAATCCCCTCTCCACCAAACTTTACACTTGGCACAATGCAGTCAGGCAAGTACCGTTCTCCTGGCAACCGCCAAACCCAGACACATCATTTGTCACTCCAGAGAACACGTCTCCACTTCTCTAGAGTCCAGTGGCGGTGTGCTTTACACCACTGCATCCGACTCTTTACATTGCACTTGGTGATGTAAGGCATGGATGCTGCTCCTCGGCCATGGAAACCCATTCCATTAAGCTCTCTACGCACTGTTGTTGTGCCAATCTGAAGGCCACACGAAGTTTGGAAGTCTGTAGCTATTGAATCTGCAGACAGTTGGCAACTTCCGTGCACTGTGCGCTTCAGCATGCGCTGACCCCGCTCTGTCATGTTACGTGGCCTACCACTTCGTGGCTGAGTTGCTGTTGTTCTCAGTTGCTTCCACTTTGCTATAATACCACTAACAATTGACCGTGGAATATTTAGTAGCAAGGAAATTTCAGGGAACACCTGAATCCAATGATTTGGAGGGGTGTCCCAATACTTATGGTAATATAGTGTATGTTTATTTATACAGTGTTATAATATTCTAATCCAGGTAAAGTCCAGTAAAGCAAGAAAGTGTATAAACTGGTGACACTAAAATGGGGTATTCCTTGAGGTGCCAAAAGTGTGCCTGCAGGGTCCCATGATGGAAACCTGGCCATACTTGTATTCATGGGACCCTCAAATAATCACAAATAACATCCCAGGCATTCCATGTATGAAAAGTACCATACCCCAATATCCCAAATGATCCATCCTCAGCCAACTACCAACATAGAATTTCTAAGATTACCTCTCTCTGCAGCTAATATGTACCTGTGTGTAAAGTGCAGGACTGGATAGACAGAAAGACCAATGCTTTGCAAAGGAAAACAGTTTGCCTGGAGTCTAGCATCAACATTACATGTAATACTAAAATGGTTTACTCAACATGTACATGATGGTGGATTCATTAATATGTGACATGTTTATGATGGGCAATTCATCTGCAGTACATGTTACATAGATATGCTAATGGATTCATGTACATGTATATCATGGTGGATTCACCGATATGTACCATGTACATAATTGAATTCTCATCTACAGTACATGTTATCTGGATATGGTGGTTACTTCTTCATCATATACATGATGGTATAATCATGTACATGTGAAATGCACATGGTAGTTCATTCTAATACAAGCCCTAAAACAGACAAGGTGCTGGTTTCCCGAACATCTGTTCCCGAACAACACAAGAATGTTATCCTACATATAATATTCTTCCTCAACATCTAGCCTACAAGTTGTTAAATTTAACTTTATAAAGATTGTATACAAAAGCAAAAACGGTCTCCTGTTTCATGTGATGTACAGCATGAAATCTCTCCAGGTCATTTTACAATATCTATTTCTTTTCCCACTTTGTTTTACTCTATGGCATACCAAAGGTACATTGAGACAACTGCTTTTAATGTAATCACTTTTTAAGTGGAATGATGCATTGTACTAATGAGCTGTAAGGGTACCAACAAATGTGTCCATGTTTATAGCATTACATAGCAAGCCCAAGGATCTACAAATATCTTTATACCTGGCTTATACCAAGAGTGTGTTTAGTTTTTTTGTTCTTATATTATTTCATTAATATTTTAATCTTGTATTTTTGTTCCATGTAGTTTCCCAATATGGACTGGGACTAATTCCGAGATCTGTCCAATCACTCTTAGAGCACCACTTGCGGGTGGGGCTACATATAGCAAGCCGGTCCATTGCTATTCTTGAGGAGTGATAAGGAGCTACTTTTTGGGGGCAATTTTAAATGGAAAAGTGTTCTCCTTTGTTGTGAATTCATCAGTAGTTTAAGAAAGGCACATTTGCCTTTTATTTAATTTGCCTTTTATTGAATTAGGGTGAACAGTGACACTTCGGACAAAACGGGGACAAAATGTATTCGTAGGTGGATCCCTAATCCAGTTCCTCCAAATAGAAAAAGAGAGTAATGTAAATTAAAATGAATATGATTGTTGAATACATTGACAGCTGTAGTTTCTCCACAACAATAGATTACACCCTATACAATTTTAATCTGAACATATACCGATATTTCTCCCCATATACATAGCAGGGACTTCCCAAATATTGCTGTTGCCACTGCAACAGGAGGTGGAGGGGAACTTCCAAAGGGCATACCAATTTTAGTGACAATGGACTAAGTAAGGATTTCCCCTTATTTTGGAGAGATTTACTGTCACTTTCTGTTGTGTTGCTCGGACAGGATTTGAAAGGAAATCTTCCCAATGGGATACATGAAAAAAACTTATATAGGTTTTTTTAGCCATCCCCTACTTTATCCAAAGCTAAACAAAAAAGTTTTGGCTTTAGGTATGCTTTATTGTCACCGCTTTCTACTGAGTTTACACAATGTCTGTTTGTTCATAATTTAAATGATTATAATAATACCATGCAATACTTTGTAAATTAAACTTTTAGTTCACAAGCGATCTATGCTGAGTGGAAGTAGATGCAGAAATGTACACCATTCTAGATTATGTTAACTTTTCAATATTTTACTTTATAGGTGGGCTCACGTTTTTTCGCCTTCTAATGCAAGGTGTGCCTTTGTCTGTCATCGATTCTTACTTGCGCGAGCGGAATGCCAATATGCAAGAAAGAGCATGAGCAAGTCGAGAAAGCCAGCTGCTTTAATACTGCATTGAATCTAAATGCCATTGTTTGATCCTGAAGCTGCATTTATATTCTGTTTTATATGTCTGTTGTCTTTACATGTTTGTGACAGATAAGATTAATGCATGAGTTGTCCTGGGGAAGGGATGGAAGAGCTTAATGTTTGGCTTGAGGCTTTTATACAACAAGACGCAGTATGGATAATTGATATCCCTACTTGAAGCAGCAAAATACTTGACTTGTTCAAAGAAGATAAATACATTGAATTAAACTTTGTTTTGTGGTTTAATATATGGCCTTACTTATCAATGATATATAGCAAAGATTTCATGGAGCAGATTTGTTAGTGTTTTGATTTCTCCAAGTAAGACTCTTCAAGCGTAAATCTATTTAGGTGATACTGTTGATAAAAATGTAATTAAATTCATGTACAATAAACAAAAAATGTTCCTCCGTTTATATAATTGTAGTTATTTTTATTTGTGATATTTTTATATATTGCTTTTCTCCTTCTCAGTTGCCCAGTCACATATAACTATATATTTAAGAAACCTAAGCGTAACATCCTCTCTCTGCCCTTCTCATACTAAGTACACCCTCTTGTACATACCTCAAAACAGCAGGAGACCATGGTCAAAACTAGGCAATCAGTGGTGTCCTTAGCCTTTTTGCCGTCTGAGGTGGCCGGGAATTGGGGTGGTGGTGGAGTGATGCCACCCTCTGCAGGTTCTGCATCTTCCCACTCGGGTCATTGTCCCGCCCAGCTCCAAGCAACCAGTCACATCTCTGGTTGCCAGGCTCTGGGTGGAACGCTGATGCCAGCCAGTGGGTCCCAGATTGCTATGAGCTGAGCAGAGCGATATGTATGCCCCTTTCACATCTTCCCACAGGCTCTTAGCAACTTGGGACACTCTGGCAGGAAAGGGGGTGGCAGGCACACTGCAAACATTGTGCAGCAGAGCAGCTCTGCCTGCCCCCCCACATGACCCAAATAGATGCCACCTGAGGCTGCCTCATTAGAGGGACACCCTGCAGGCAGTGCACCTATGCTATTTCAAGCCATGAAGGCCATGCTATATTGCACATGCAGGATTATTTCTCTGTAGGTCCTAGCGGAAAATCACTCTGCTTGCAAGTCATCAGGGAGATAGGTTTGGAGTTCAGTCTGTGGACAAATCACAAACCGCTGATTACTCACCTCACAGGCTTCTCTGTGCAGAGTCTAGTGTCTGTCAGTCACCGCTCCCCGCAGCGATTCCCCCCTCTCTTCTCTATTCCTCCAGTGCTCACTGGAGGGACAGACAGGGGAGGGGGCGGGCACAGCTGGCTTTGGCTCTAGTGAGGCAGAGCCAGATGTCAATCAAGCAGTGGGGTGGATCCCAAAAATATTGTTGTGATCCTTCCTGGCTGCAGTGCAGCTCTGCGCTGTCAGCATATAGTGAGCAATAACCCGCTATTTGCTGAGTTTGGGTCACAGGAGGAAATTAGTAAATGTACGTCTGTGACCCAAAAGAGAACTAAAGCCAAAAAAAAGGTTTGGATTTAGTTCTCTTTCAACACATTATCTGGGCCACAGTGACAAAAGAAAAATATTTTTTCATAAATATCAAAACCCTTTGGAATTATTTGTATTTCAACGTCAATGGTTCTTAAAATATGATCTGATCTTCATATAGGTCATAACAATAATTTGACAGAATCTAGTTTACAAATGCATACAAGTTGTGTGTTACATATTTTTGCAGAACAGTTGGCTTAAACAAAAAGGGTAATTGGATTTAGGTATTCCAATCAATGAAATAGTTAAAAGTACCCTGTCCTATACACAAAGTAAAAGGAGCTGGGCTACTTACAAAGTTTGGACTTTGCACGAAAGATCTGTTAATGTGAGCCATGCCCTATAACAACTGTCTGTAGAGATAAAGCGTAAAGTATAGCTTCAATAGCATTCATAAAGGCCATGGGTGTTCAACCATTCAAAGATATGCAAACAGTTGACACATAAAGAACATACAGCACTGTTGCTACTCTGCATAAGAGGAAGCATCCTGTACAAATCACAGCACGAGAGCAGCATACAGTGATAAAAGAGGTAACAATCAGCATGGGTAACAGCAGAAGGTCTTCAGAAGTCTCTGTTCATTGGTCCTCTATATGAAAAACAGAGAACAAGAAGCTCATGCTGATTCTGAGTAGAGAGCTCTAGCACTATGTTGGTCGGGGCAGTTTGGATCCAGCAAAGAGACTGCTGCTCTCACACACAGAGTAGTGATCCTCTCTGTAGCCTGCACGGAGGAATTTGAGCTTGCACTTGGGCAGATTTAGAGTAAAGCTCACAGTAAGACATTAACACATCACCCTCAATATTTTTGTAGTTCTTCTACAACCGGGCTTTAACTGCATAATTATTGGATAAGGAAAAATAAAAAGTAGAGAAGCATAAAAATAGTAGGCATGCTTCACATGGTCACAGGCAAATTGTTTTGTAAAGACCCCTTGGAAGCATTACTGAGTTGGAAGCCTATAGTGTGTACTCACCATCAATTTCAATCAGTTATCTTCTTTTTTCTTGCTGAGGCTCAATGTGTTATTGCATGAAATCCCCTATCATTCTCTTTGATCCGATCTCACAGGTTATGTTTTTAAAAAAAATTATAGCAATTCAGAATGACACAGTTGGCAAGTTTTAGAAGGTCTGGGAGCCGTGGATTGAGTCTTACTTGCCCTCCTCCTTTCCTGTGGTGAGAGCAGGGGGCTTATTCACATCAGGCTACCATTTTAATAAAGGGGCACCCAGATGCGCCCCCCCTTGTGAATGAGTAAGGGGTACTTGTACCTCTACCCATTCACTAAAGGGTTAGTTTTACAAAGGAGGCCACACTTTTGAAAAAAATCAGGGCTTACAAGGCACAGTGCCTTGTGCGGTGTGCTCGGTGGGTGAAAAGCCCACCGAACACCTTGACAGTTTGTGTGTTTGCCGAACACACAAACTGCTGATGTTCAAGTCAAACTCAGGTTCGGCTCGAACATCGAGCCCAAACTTAATATTCTTTGCGGTTGTGAACTGGTGAAGAGATCCTGTAAAACACTAATTAGTAGGGATGCACCGATAATGATACTAGTATCGGTATTAGTCCAGATACCGAGTATTTGGGCGAGTACTCGTACTTGGCCAAATGTTCCGTACCTTCCCAAACACTAGAACTTCCGGTCAGAGGGAGAGTTCCTCTGACCGACAGCGCCGCAAGAGAACATGGAGCCGGCTTCCCGGCCAATCAGGAAGGCGGGTGGTGGGTAATGACTCGCCGCCTGGCTTTCCTGATTGGCCAGGAATCCGGCTCCATGCTGTGTGGCCAGTTTGATGCTGATTGGCATGCAAGATTCTCTCTGGATTTCCTCTGCAATGATAACTGGAATTCTAGGGTGAGGGGGCTTGCGCTCAAAAACAGAGTGTATGCTAATTGTATAAAGTAGTGAAGAAGAAATAAAAGGTCAGAAGATCCTTGTTACTAGTCCAATATATGAAAAAAAAATGATGTGTTTCAGGAAATAAATGTAAGAGCAACTGCTGGCGAGATATGTTAGAATTCGCTACAAACTGTTTTGAGATAGAGGATTTTTTTTACAGAAATCCAAAATTCTAATGAGAGAACTGTTCTCAAATCTATTGTTACATATGCAACGCAGACTTCATTAATAACAAAAGCAGAGATGGACAGAAATTGGGGTTTTAAGGAGGATTGTTTGAGAAGGTTGAGCAATGGAGAAAGGAGATTCAGGGAATATAAAGAATTATTCAACTATTTTATACACAGAAGAAGCAAGCAACTTATTTTGATGATATGATAAGGATGAAAGACAGAATCCCATAGAAGATATCTGATGGAAATCCAGAAGGATAAAGAAAAAGGAGGAGATCAATTATAGTTTTGGATCAGTGGCGGAACCACCGCCAGTGCGGGCGCACCAGGGCCTCGGCCTGGGGGGGCCCAGCACCGGATCGGTACCCAGCGGCGAGCG